CTGACTCACATTAGACAGATTGTCATGTTTTATGGTCAGTTTTTCTTCCTGTTTCGCTATTTAGTTGTGAAACCTTAACTATTTAAAATAAAGAACTACTCTCTTCAAAACTAGCTTCCAGGCCCATGTGGCCTGGAAGCGTCCAAGTTATTTTTGAGAAATTGTCTTGAATATTTGGAAAATTTCTCAACAATAAGCTGTACAGAGACCATTTGAAGATTATTTTGGCAGACTGGACTGGAATTTAAAACTTAAATCTGTATCTTAAAATGTCCAAAATGCATTGTATTTTGTGGAATCCAGCAGTTTTATTATTACTAAGTGAAAAAACAGAAGTTTGTACTGTCAGGCTATTATTTATGTATTTTAAGAGGGATACAGTGGACTATCTATAACCATTTGAATTTAAATAGTTTTGTTTTTGTATTTCAGGTGCTCACGAAAGGTTTTGGATTCCATCTCAGAGATCTTTGCAACGCAACGCCGCTGGAGCAGTTTGTCCACATTGCAGACCGTAACGTGTCCCACTTGACCCAAGAGATCATCTGCAAATCATCCAGTAACTGGCTGAACCAGGCTCAGAACCACTTCCTCTCCAATTTGGACTTTCTGAAACCGATTCGGGTGAGTTTGCAGAATTTTTTTGAGTTAATTTCAGTTTGAATTTTGACATCCTGATAAAAACAGGTTTTTCTCCCTGTTGATAATTATGAGTATTTATTGTAACAGCCAATAGGTTAATAATTTTGCGTTGTGCACTAAAATGTTTGTTTTTTTGTACTTCAGAGTCTTATCATTATAAAGGATTGGCCCATATATATATATAGATATATATTTATATATATATGCACAAACTCCTGACATCTAGATGTTTTTCTTGTACAAGCAATGTTTTCTTTACAAGAATTTCCTCCCTTTCCTGTTTGGTGTTGACTCTCCTCTGTTCACAAATGGTCTCCCCCTTCCCATAAACTTTTGACCTGAATACGAATCATTATGAGGAAGGATGGCAAAAGGTGAACAAAACAGTTTGTTGTTCAGAACTTGAAAGCAACAAAGAAAAGTCAAGAATTTCATCAAAAGTCAACATAGAACATAGTGATGCTCATTATGCTTTGTTTCTTCAGGTTTCTTATTATTTCAGCATAGAGAAAAAAAACATGTCTTGTTGACATGCAAACAAGCACTGACTAATGTAGGATATGATTCCCAGAAAACAAACTTTGTCCTCAAAACTGAGTCCAAACTTTGCGAAACCTTTTTTATGCAATAGTGGACAATCTTTTCAACATTGGCAAAAAATGTTGTATGAGGGCAAGAACTCTTGCAACACTCCCAAATTTTCTCCCATTGTAAGAATCTGTAACAGGGAGAAGAGAAATTACAGATTAGAAGTAAGACAAGAGTGAGCAAGTCAGGGAGAGAAAGTTGAACCGCTGACATGTACGGAGAGCACCACCCACACAGTACCACAGCGAGCAGGTCAGGGAGAGAAAGTTGAGAGTTCACTGGAGTATTGTTGGTTTTTCCCTAAAAGGCTGTTCTCTTTTCATTGACACCTGTGCTTTATCAAATGTCTGACATTCCAGCACCCTGCAACCTAAAGTGATACATGAGAGCTCTCAATCACACATTCAACCCCGGCATACCCAGATAGCACAGAAGAAAAGAAGAGCTTAAATCCCCTGAAACATTTTTCTTTTTCCTTGCCTTCCTCTCTTTATGATTTTCATTATTAGAACCTTCATTTTACCTCACTTCTTACGATTTCATGACAGTCTATCTTGTCTAATCAAACAAACCATGAAAACTCCTCCAGAGAACTTTGTTGTAAAAGAAAGAAAGAAGTCATTATTTTAGAAAGATGAACTGAGAATTATCCATTGTCTTTGGCAGAAGGATGCGAGTTCAGACCCCAAAGCTGTCCAAGACGTCTCAGCTGCAACCAACAACCTCCTGGAGAGCCTTGGCGCACTTGGCGTTGAGGTAAATTAACCGTTGACATGTAGAGAGAGCACCACCCACACAGATCCACAAGCAAACACGACATCCAAATTATTTGTATCCAAAGTTCAGTTGTCATGTTTGTGACTGAAATCAATTCCTAACCACACAGATAAAGTGTCAGGATTCAACCAAAGGTAATGGTGTAGCAATTTGTATGCACTGTATTTGGGTAGATTTGGTCAATACTTCTGAGTATAAACAATGTAAAGGCCAAAAGACAGGTAAGTTCATTGATCCAACCAACTGCCCCTGCCCAGCCCACCCCAAACATTTTTATGATCATTTTGATATTCTGGTTTGTAATTTATATTACTGAAATAGTGAAAAACTCAATAAATATATTCTAACAGATTCAAATGTTAGCCTTTTGCCTCCCAACTATAGCTAAGATGTCCCCTTCATATAATGGCTGCTTCAAATATTGGCTTTACAATTAGCCTCATAGCCAAACTAGTTGACCTCCAACACAGAAACTCAATCACATGACTTCCAGAAGATACTAACTATATCATATTGACATATCTATTGTCAAAACAACCAGCAAAACCTTATACATTACCGCATAATAGAAGAAATGAGAAGATAAGCAATATCTAACATGTTTCACAGTGCTTGAGTAAAAATGAAACCCTTTTAATGGCTAATATTTAACAACCTCTTAAATCAAAAGTTAACCTGACAGAACCATCTACAACTGGAAATGCTACAATATGTTTTTTGTTCTTTAAAAGTAACTGGAGTACATGACAGTCTTGACTCAGTTCAGTCGTCAATGTTACACGTAGCAGAAAACCATGAAGAGCCACATGTCTGACCCCAGCTAGTGTAACTGAGTCTTCTGCAGTGTTGGAGTGCAATGAGAAATCAGAGATGCAGGAATTGGTTGAGCATGCTCACCAAACGCAACACAACCCCCTTTTCTCTCACTCAGCCTCTGCTGATCTGGCAAAACATAAAGACCCAGCTGTCTCTGTGTGTGCGTGTGGGGGTGTGCACATGCGTGTGTGTGTGCCTGCGTGTGTGTGCGTGTGTGCGCGTGTATGTTGAGGCTTCCTGTCGAAGCAGCTGACGGATCGCCACAAAACCGCTCTTTTCTTTCTTTATCAGTAAAAATGTTGCAACTTTGAATCATAATTTCCTTTTCCCTCTTTGCACAATATTTAATTCCTCTTTTTGATTGGAACATTGTCAAGTTGAAGCTTTTGACATAATTGTCACAATAATTTGAATATGAAAAAGGTCTATGTTTTCCACAACTAAATAGCTGTTCTGTGGACATGGTGCAGCATATTTGGTTAAAATGAATGAGCAGCCATGATCATCTGGGATGCAAGCAATGGCATGTTGTTGCTAACAAAGTGCAGGAGACCGATATAATTTGTGGTGTGTGTTTTGGTCCAAGGTTTTTTAATTAGGCGTAAAGCAAACTACAGTCTTAAGTGTCGTTGGAGAATGTTTTGTTGTTTTTTTTCAGAAGTAGATCTTTCACACGTTTAGACTTGAGCAAAAGAGGATGTTGTCTAGAAATATAAAACTATGGCATTATTTTCTTTTCATATTTTAGAAAAGCTGTCAGAATAAACAGGAATATCTTTATTATAGGAATGACAAAAATGTCACGTCACACATTCAGTTCAGTAGTTTTGTAGGTACATAACATGATTAAAATCATAGGAAGCATCTTTCATAATTCTGGCACATTTAAATTTGCAGTCATCATATCAAAGTAATGTTGCTAGCTGATTTATATGTGACTTTTCACAATTCTACCAACAATGTTATTGAAAACAATAACAAAAATGGACTCAAAAAGTTTTTGAGTCCTTTTTTAAGATTATCATTCTTGAAATTTACAACTTACATAAATTACCCAACAAAAAGTAATAGTGAGACAATGACTTATGACTTATATTTTTATTTATGTAACCATGCCAACTTAAATTTGGGGGGTTTAATACATGTGAATTCTCTACTTTAACAACTTAATTATCTAACTTCAAACAGTTCCTCATAGTTTGCAGTAATGCTGCATATTGGTCACTTTAGCTATTTTTTTATTATTTTCAAATTCCAACATTTCAAGAAAAACTTTGTTTTAAAAAATTTTTAAAAAAATCTGAAGCAATAAATAAACAAACCTACAGGTTTAAGATGCAACTACAGTCATACGCAACATGTTACACTGTAATATGCATTCATTTGAAGATTATTTATGAAACTAAAAGTAACGTTTAAAAATAGAAATAATGTATTAAACAGTTCATTAAGGCCATTCTGCATAATTAAATTGTTTAATGGTCTGATAAAATGTTCCAATCATGAATATTTTTATTAACTATAAGAAAAAAAATCACCCTTATTCATAGAAAATAGCTTGAAAATAGAAGTTTTTGTATAATTAATCAACAACGTGTTTTGCTAACTGAATTGAGTTACTGAAAATTTTACTTTTTCAATCTTTTAAAAAAATTTTTTAGACAGAACTCTAGACATTTCAGGCCTTACCTAAGAGATTATTATAAATCTTTTTTAACACCTTAATGAAATCCTGATGTATAAAAAAATACAGAATAGATCAATTCCAGGGTCAAACTGGTTGTTCTCTTGCGATCACGCGTTTGTTAGAACTTCATCAGGACATTTTCCAGCCAGCCAGCCCCCCTTATAGAGTAATAGAAAGGGAATCAGTGTTCAGTGTTTCTGCTGACAATTATTTTTCTTTCCTCACTGCTCTTCTTATCAAAACAACCACAGATAGCCTCATTTGCCATTCCTGGAGGGAAAAAAAAACTTTTCCCCTACACCGCATCCTTTACAGTTTTATTGCATTTCTAGCAAAAATGAAGCCAAAAAGTCATGCATTCTCCAAAACGCATCAAAAGTTAACTTAATATACTCTGATTTATTGGAAAAATTGATTCAGTATCTGATATACTTGTTAAAATGTTCTTGTGTGATCAGCCTTTGAGCTGTTCATGTCTACATAGCTGTGTGCTGGAGTTTAAATTTGAACTTTAATAACCTCACAGAGGCTGGGTGCTGAGGTTATGCTGGGACAATTCTGTTCTTCTGCCTGCCTATCTGCATCCAGTTTTATTTTCCGTGTGCGTGCGAGTGCAGCACATCTACATTCTTGGATATCGCAGGTATTACTCATCGTGCCACCTCGCCAAGTTAGCGTGGGTGTTCATCTTGAAGGGAATGACACAAGATAATTTTCAGAGCAAGAAAAACGCTCATTCACAAGACCTACAAACACAGTTTTGGCATCCGAAGTCACCTGCATGCACATGGCGATATAGAGATGCATCACTCAGAAGGCTGCACGTTGTTTATGTGAGCGAGGTTGTGGCGAAGAGGATGTTGGCACCCTTAAGTGGAACGACAAATGCAAGCATCTGCCACAACACAGAAAACCTCATGAGCAGCAAGTGTAAAATAGCATGTAGCATTTGTACACACACACACTCACGCCATGCACCATTTCAGATGAAACTGCAGGAAACAATGTTACCCTGGTGTAGCTGTAGGCTCAGCTGCAAAGTAAACCAGGTTTAAACAAGTTTTGAAAATCTGTTTTAAGAGCTATTGGCAAAAATAGACTCATAAATATATGAATATGTAAACAACACTGTTTTCTGTTTTGTAACAACAAGGATACGCTGGATGTTTCCATATCATCTTGCCCATATGTGCCTGTGCGTGCATGTGTTTCTTTGTCTGCAAGTGTGGAGATGTGAGTAAATGTCAGGATAATAGCGCTCTACTTGTGGAGCCAGCAGAGGTTTGCCTGTTAGGAGAAATGGCCGAGAGTAACCTCTCTTTGTTCTCAAACCTCCCTCTGTTTTCACCTCCTGTTTCTAATATAGCCACTTTCTATGCCTCTTTCTTATTTTCTTTCTTTCTGCCTCTCTTTCTTTCATATCAGGCATACTTTTTACCTTCCACCAATACTTGCTAAATGGGCGAGGTCTCCACGTTATTCATCCTTCTTTCATTCCTTTCTTGTCACGAGTTGAATCCCTGATTGCATGTCTTGTTGAACCGCTAGGAAACATGGTTAAACTTGTGCTGACTTGTCTCTTGACCTATGGTAACCCGGTGATGTCAGAAAGCATATGACTGCTGAGTGCTGACAGTATAAAACACCGCTTCCCCTTTTCTCACACCGAAAAAAACCAAAATGTGACAAAAACTCAAATTGCTCTCTGTTGGAAACAAACACAGCTACAGAGTTTATGCCAATTTCAGACAAAGGCTGCAATTCAAACAGAAGTTCTTTTCACGCATTATCAAGAAATCCCCAAACAAAGAGGAGGGCTGTGCGCTGTTTTGTTCCAAACATCAGGATTCTTTCCATATTTCTGCCACTGCGTTGGCCGACATGTATCAGTTTGTGAGTTGTTGATTTGCTGCAGAGAAACAATATTGTTGCTGTGGCATAAACACTCGCCATGACGGCTGTTTCTGATGAAAGACGCTGTGCTGACTCGCATTACGTGTTATCTAAGCTCTTCCTTCAGAAGCAGTGCAGACCCTCTCTCACACACGCACGCTCGGAGGACTGGGAACAGCAGTTAAATTTATCTTAGTCAGACAGACGGTCAAGTGTTAAGTGTCTCCACCCATCGGAGCAGCACTTCTCTACATGTATCGAATGTACACTCACTGTGCAGAAGACGACTGCTTTAAATCAAGCAGTGGCAAACGATAACCTGCCAGATGTGGATTTTTATGTCTCGCATCTTGACTGCCAACTCAGGACAGGAGAAACTGAGACCTTCGAGATTTCCTGAAGCTGGGAAAATGGTGTGAACAACTGGGGGAAACTGAAACAGTACAGAGCAGAAAAAAGAAAAAAAAGACAGTGAGATAATCTTTCTTTTATGCCCAAAAGGGATTTATTTTGGGCATAATTTTTGACTAAAATGATCTATTTTTCCCCAAATATGTAAAGAAAAAAAGAAGGAAAAAACAAAGTGCAACTGAACAACAAAACCAACTTACTTTGGTCATGTATCTCTTTTTTTGTAAAAAGTAGGAATCTGAATTTTGTGGTAGATTTTAGTCAATCTACCACAAAAGTTTTATTTTTAAAACCATGGGGGGAAAAGCTCTTAAAATACTCTTTTAATAATAATTTACACTAAGTTTAATTACAAAGTTGATGTTTTAGATTATCTTTGACTTCCTTATAAGAGGCATCATGCATGCTAACATTACGAAAACAGCAGTCTTGTGGATATTGGATTTAGACCTTTATCTTTATTCAGATCACCAAAATGCAGCCAACATTTCCAAATGATCCAATTTTCCTAAATAGATTAAAAACTCTAGAGGACTAAACAGCATCCCCATTCAGCCTTCTGATTATCTGCTCACATCCTGCTCTGATTTTAAATAACGTGGACTATTTAATTAAAATAATTGAAAAAATAATTGAAAAAAAGCAAACTGTGTTTTCTCTCAGTTGTCCATATAACTCTATTGGGTGCAAAAAATATCTGATCTCTGAATTTCCAACTTGTCGGTCACCAATAAGTTCCAATTGTGCTGAAAATGACCAACTTATAATCACAAGTAAAATATAGCTTCTGAGTGCATCCATCAGGTTTAATATTTGGAATTAGCTTTCCTCTCTCTTAATATTTGTGTCTCTTTCTCTCGACAGCTTGCCGGCATGAAGAGCTGGAAGGACATGAGAAAGGAGATCCTGTATCTGACTGCAAACTCAACAGGATCTCCGAAGCAGATGTACCAGGCCGTGTCGCGTATTGTTTGCGGACATCCAGAGGGAGGCGGCCTGAAGATCAAATCCCTCAACTGGTATGAAGACAACAATTACAAGGCTCTGTTTGGACACCACGGCAACGACAGTGACAGTGAGCCCGTCTCCATCTATGACAACTCTTCAAGTAAGCATCCTTGTATTTATTTTAAATATAAAAGAGTTGTTTGCTCCCAATTTTTATAGGTTCAATACTCAAACTGCGGTTTGTGTCTTTTTTTTTTTTTTTTAGCTCCTTACTGTAACAACCTAATGAAGAACCTGGAGTCCAGCCCCATTTCCAGGATGATTTGGAGAGCTCTCAAACCTCTTCTAATGGGGAAGATCCTGTATACCCCAGACACTCCAGCAACTCAGAGGATCATTCACGAGGTACAACAGATTCCTCACAGAAAAGCCCTTTATCAGAATACCTCTGGTAAGAAAAAGGAAACCTGAAAGCTTGAATTTTGCAGGTTAACAAGACCTTCCAGGAGCTGGGAGTGCTGAGAGATCTGGGCGGCATGTGGGAAGAAATGAAACCTAAAGTTTGGAACTTCATAGAGAACAGCGACGAGATGGACTTAGTCAGGGTGAGTGTGTTCACTGACGTCATTTCTGTAGACAAAAACATGGCTGTGTTCCCAGTGTTCCTTCCTGTTTAGCCTAAAACAATTCAGGCAACTTGAGGGCATATTTGTAATTATTTATCCTGAGTGACCCGCACAGAAAGTTCGTTTTCTTTTTGGGTCACTTTCAAGTTCTACGGCAGCAAAGAACGATAGACAGTAATAAAAAAATAAATAAAACCAATCCTAGAAAAAAGACAAAATCAGAGCCTGAATTCTCTGAACACATTAATATCAGAGAGTGAACCACACAAAGCTTTTGCACTGCTTCCTCAGTTTAGATGAGCAGCTTTTAGTGGGCATAGAGCTTTTAATGTGGTTGTTTTATTGATGGGAACTTTTACCCAATTTTCACCATCTTCTTTCCTTACTAAACTGCTTAAACATCACCTCCACCTAGTGGTGTATGCTTGTAAATTACCTTGTACATTTTTCTAGGCGTTAAAGATAACAAACTTCTATTATTTTGTTTTTGTCCATAATGTATTTATTGTAGAAGCCCATACTGCTGGGGAACTTTATGTAACATTCAAGCAAAGATGTTTTCTCATTAAAAAAAGATGAACTTGTAAAAAATACTTTTTATTATATTCATCAGAACAACCTGGCATTGGTAGAAAATGCAGGTCAAACACAGCACAGAACAGCTGCACTCTGAAACCAAAAGGCTAAAGGAAAGCAGTAACCACTCAAAGGTTTTCCTTTTTTACACAGTTGCTTGGCATAAATCATCTAAACTCTTCTGTTTTTCTTCCAGTCCCTGCTCCAAAGCAACACCAGCGCTGCTTTCCTGAACGCTCAGCTCAGTGAGACTGAGTGGCGTGTGTCCGATGTGGCGAACTTCCTCACAAAAGTTTCAGAGGACCGCCGACCTTCGGGGTCAGCCTACACATGGAGGGACGCGTTCAATGAAACCGATCGCGCCATAAAGACAATTTCACAGTTTATGGAGGTTAGTGAGATATGAATGCTGTGACTGTTTTTATTTTTATTTTATTTTTCCACTGCAAGGTCACAGTGGAAATGATCTGTATCCAGACCATTACACTACATTTTGACATAGTCTTTTTTTTTTTTTTACCTCTGGGCTTTAAATGGGGATGTTAGTTTAAGATCCTGTCAGTTAATCATAGATTCATGGCTCTTGACATGGTCCATAAAAGCTTTTGCTGTCTTTGGATAAAACCAATAAGGCTGAGAAAAAGGGCGTTAAATGCTGATTATCTTTTTAGGTCAACTCCCTGTAAAATCGTCATTAATTTTTCCAGTGATTTTGTGTGCTTGACCTCAAATACCAGCACAGCTATTAATAAAAACCTTGAAATTAAATGTTCTTTTGCTTCACATGCTTTATCAGACAAACTCAAAGCCATGTGATCTGTATCATTTAAATAAAACAAAGTCAGCCATTAATCCTCCCACTGTTTTATTCAGCACTGATTCTGTGTACTTCTTTTGTTCTCAGGAAAGTTCTTTAAATATCTGCTTCCACCTTCATAACGATCTGATTTCTATTATGCTGTCTGTCCTTAAAGTGATAGGCTTCTCATGTCATGTTTGATCACGTATATTTTAAGTTACTGTAAGTCTTCCATTTCCTTCTAACACTTTGTAGTTTGAAAACAAATATAATCAGTTACGTATCCATTTCACAACTTTTACAACCTCTCCGACTAATGTTTCACTCAAACAAACCAGTGACCTACTGACTTTCATTAAGGAGCTCCTATAATCTACTGTATATACACACAGTAGTTTGTTGCAGTAAAATCAATGTAACAGCTCCAAATAACCATAAAGGTTTGCGCCTTAGTGGTTTCGACGCTGCATTTGATTGGATTTTGCTCTTCTGGATCTTAAATGTTTATCAAAGTTGGAATGAAGGAATGAGGTAAAATTCAGCTGATGTTAGATAAACAAATGAAAGGTTGATCTGTGGGAGGGCTGAACGGATCGGGTAAAAAATGATGTGGTCATTCTGTTTTAAACTCAGAATGAACTTTGTGAACTATCAAAAGTTCATAAACTGTTATATCATTGACAAGATAACAAGGATAACTCAATAAAACAGGTTAAATGACAATAACAGTCAATCACCTAAAAGTTAATTGAACTTGTTATAGTTCTACTGGCGCACTATAACAATAAAAAATCTGAATCACTGTAGCAACATTTTCTCATTAAATCCTTTCCCTACTTGCCTCATTTCTCCGGCTCTTTTTCCAACTCCCTCTTCTTTTAGTGTGTGAACTTGGACAAACTGGAGTCAGTCCCCAACGAGGAACGCTTGGTCAACAAGTCCATGGGTCTTCTGGATAACCAGAAGTTCTGGGCGGGAATCGTGTTTCCTGACATCGCTCCCAATAGCACCAACCTGCCTCCCAACATCAACTACAAAATTCGCATGGACATTGATAATGTGGAGAGGACGAACAAGATCAAAGATGGGTGAGTGGCGACAAGAAACGTGTTTTTATCTTAGGTTGTTTGCTTGTTTGACAGTTTTTACATTTGCTTTTTTGTTAATTTGTAGATACTGGGATCCTGGTCCCAGAGCGGACCCCTTTGAGGACCTGCGGTACGTCTGGGGCGGATTTTCTTACCTGCAAGACGTCATTGAGCAAGGAATCATCCGAGCTATCACTGGTACTGTGGAGAAGACAGGTATTTACATCCAGCAGATGCCCTACCCTTGCTACGTAGATGACATGTGAGTGATAACATTATAAAAACAAAACTTTTCCTACAAAGATCTGGCAGGATTGACCCCGACACATTTCACTCCTTTTTTTTTCAGATTCCTGCGAGTTATGAGCCGGTCGATGCCTCTCTTCATGACTTTGGCCTGGATGTACTCTGTGGCCATCATCATCAAAGGCGTGGTGTATGAGAAGGAGGCACGACTGAAGGAGACCATGAGGATCATGGGGCTGAACAACGGCACCCTGTGGCTGAGCTGGTTCATCAGCAGTTTAATCCCACTGCTCATCAGCGCTGGCTTACTGGTCATGTTGCTGAAGGTGTGTGTTGTTGAAGACAAGCACATGCATCATTTCTATTATTCAAAATAGTGGAAAACATGAGATTATTATTTTTATTTTTTTTTGTCCTGTCTCCTCTCAGATGGGAAACCTGTTGCCGTACAGCGACTCAGGCGTTGTGTTTCTTTTCCTGGGATCCTTCGGTGTTGTGACCATCATGCAGTGTTTTCTGATCAGCACTCTGTTTTCTCGTGCCAACCTGGCGGCGGCCTGCGGAGGAATAATATACTTCACCCTCTACCTGCCCTACGTTCTGTGTGTTGCTTGGCAAGATTACGTGGGATTTGGAGCGAAGCTTGTAGTGGTGAGTGAGATAGCTCTTATTACATCTGAATAAATGCAGTCCACTGCATTTTTATTGATACCACTGGTAAGGATATGTAAAAAACCACTGGTAAGGATATGTAAAAAACCTCAAAGTAAATCTATATGTTACAAATGTAGCACAGTATCACTCAAGTGATTTTTAATAAAATCACAGCTCATGATGATAAAGGAAAATTTTAAAGAGAAACACACAGCATCTCAGACCATATTTAACACGAGGTGTTTTTCCACATATTCATTCCTTGTTTTATCTTCAAACAAACAATGAATAAAGAGAAATTCATTTGGTATGTTTAGTGCCAAAAACCTCAACCTCAGATTCACTTGTCAAAAGCACATGGTTCTAGGTGTTATTTCAGTGTGATCTTAAACTGCCGCAGTAAAAAAATGGTTGTTATACAACTTTTACTTGTGTTTCCAATAAAAGTAGTTGGCACTGTACATCCATATCTTGCACCTCGCATTATACACAGAGATCCCAAGAATTCCTGCTATGTAACAGTGGATATTGTGTTTCTCTCTCAGAGTCTTCTGTCCCCTGTGGCTTTTGGCTTTGGCTGTGAGTACTTTGCCCTGTTTGAGGAACAAGGTGTGGGAATCCAGTGGTCTAACCTTCTAGCAAGCCCCCTGGAGGAGGACAGCTACAACCTGACCACCTCTATATGCCTCATGCTGTTTGACGCAGTGCTGTATGGAATAATGACTTGGTACATCGAAGCCGTTTTTCCTGGTGAGACACAAAAGTTAGATATTTCTTTAAAAAATCGGATATAATCTGTGCAATATAAGTCATGTTATAAACACATAATTCTGTTGCAGGCCAGTACGGGATCCCAAGGCCTTGGTATTTCCCTTTCACAAGAACATATTGGTGTGGAGAGAAGGAGAACCAAAACATTAATACTCCAATGTCAAAGAAAGGCAACGCTGACGGTACAGCAAATACAATCCTAAATAATACCAAACTGCAAGAGAAGCCCTTGCTTATCGCTAATATGTTGTTCTTGATTTCATCACATCTACAGCTGTGTGCATCGAGGAGGACCCAAGCCACATCGACCCGGGTGTTTACATCAAAAACCTGGTGAAGATCTACAGCCATGGGAACAAGCTGGCTGTGGATGGATTGACCCTTAAATTCTATGAAGGCCAGATCACGTCCTTCCTCGGCCACAACGGAGCTGGCAAGACTACAACCATGTAAGTTCATATGTTCAGTGTGTTTACCAGCTGGAGAAAATGTAAACAACTCATTTCAAAACCTTAAGTGGTGACCACATTCTGTTTGTGATAGGTCAATCCTGACTGGACTGTTCCCACCCACCTCTGGCACCGCCTACATCCTCGGCAAGGACATCCGCTCCGAGCTCAGCACCATCAGGCAGAACCTGGGGGTCTGCCCCCAGCACAATGTGCTTTTCAGCATGTATGTCTGCACTTTGACTGGAAAACACTTTCGCACACTTGGGCCCCCTTTCTCGTATTTCAAGCATTTGTGCCATTTTGCTGTGAATCAGGCTGACCGTCGAGGAGCACATCTGGTTCTACGCTCGCCTGAAGGGTCTGCCCGAAGAGCAAGTGAAGGCTGAAATGGAACAGATCGTCAACGATGTCGGCCTGCCACACAAGCGAAAATCTCGCACCAGCACGCTGTCAGGTCGGTTCCTAGTTTCAGGTTTCTCTTAATTATTTTCAGCACTTCAATTGTTTGTTTTACGTACTTGATTAAATTTGGAGTGCATGCTTCTGACTTTGGTCTTTTTGTGCAGGTGGAATGCAGAGGAAGTTGTCTGTTGCGCTGGCGTTTGTCGGCGGCTCTAAGGTTGTCATTCTGGACGAGCCTACTGCTGGTGTCGATCCGTACGCACGCAGGGGAATCTGGGATCTGCTCCTCAAGTACAGACAAGGTAAATGAAACAAATGTTGTTTTTGTGTCATATATGTAAAAGTTGGCCAAAGGGCTTCAGTATGGCAGCGTTGTAATGAATAACTTTACGTTTTCATTCACTTTTTAGCCCGCACCATCATCCTTTCCACCCACCACATGGATGAGGCTGACATCCTGGGCGACCGTATTGCTATCATTTCCCATGGCAAGCTGTGCTGCGTGGGCTCCTCTCTTTTCCTGAAGACGCACCTCGGAACCGGCTACTACCTGACGCTGGTCAAGAGAGACTACGACCTGTCTCTACAGTCCTGCAGGAATTCTGCCAGCACTGTCTCATACATGAAAAAGACAGAGAAGGTAAGCGAAAATAAATTTTTATGCTTACTGGCATGCATTAAAAAAAACATAAAGATGGATTTATTAAGGTTTTTTACTCCCACTATTTTCAGGAGGACAGCGTATCAGAGAGCAGTTCGGATGCTGGCCTTGGCAGCGAACCTGAAAGTGAGACAACCACTATTGGTAAGAACTGGAAGCTTAATTTTCTCTACGAAAGTTCCAAAATGATATTCACCCACCTTTCTCTCTTTTTTTTCTGTTTGTCTTTTCCATTAGACGTCTCCCTCATCTCCAGTGTGATTTTCAAACACGTCTCAGAGGCTCGTCTGGTGGAAGATCTCGGGCATGAGCTCACCTACGTCTTGCCACACCAGTCGGCTAAAGACGGCGCCTTTGTTGAGCTTTTCCATGAGCTTGATGATCGACTTACTGACTTAGGAATCTCAAGCTACGGGATTTCTGACACCACCTTGGAAGAGGTTGGGGCTGCTTGTTTAACATAACTTTTTAATCCATTTTGGTCTAACATTCATTGAATCTCAAGCGAACCCTTAAATTGACTTTGTTTCTTTCGATGCGGCAGATTTTCCTGAAAGTGGCAGAAGATAGCGGTGTTGATTCTGTTGAGCTTTCAGGTGAGATTTACAATGTTTTAAATGCAGCAAATGCAAATGAAAACAAAAACAACAAACAAATTCAAGCACTGAGTAAATTGTAGCGTAAATTAAGCAAGTGCACTTTGGTGTTTTTGTAGACGGAGTCGTGCCAACCAGAACCCGACGGCGACACGCTTTTGGAGACCACCAGAGCTGCCTGAAACCCTTCACCGAGGATGACTTTGACTTCAATGACTCTGAAGGTGACCCAGGTAGAATTTAATTGCCCGCCACGCAGAGCAATGACAAATATTTCAGTTTTAATACTGAGGGGCATTGTGCATTTGAAAAATATGCAACAATCAGAAACATTGCACAGAAACTCTGGCAACCTGAGGCTCACGTGCTGCTGTTACAAAACTGTAACAGTTGCATGCTTTTAGCAGAAACTACAAGTGTCATTGCTGTTGCAAAACCGGAGAACACATTTATCTTGTTTGTACGTGTGCTGACAATGTGTCTTTTCTGTGCAGAATCTCGTGAGACTGACTGGCTCAGTGGAACAGATGGCAAAGGTTCATATCAGGTCAAAGGCTGGAGTCTGAAGAGACAGCAGTTTGTTGCGCTCCTGTGGAAACGGTTCCTCTATGCTCGCCGCTCTCGGAAAGGCTTTTTCGCTCAGGTGTGCTGTGATTAATGTTACATCCAAGAACTGGATGTCAAGTTATGGTGCTCTTATCATTAACACAACTTACTAAAATCATTATTTTACACCATCATAGAACCTTACCCTTTGTCCATTTTATTGCACTGAAGTTTAAATGCATTTTTCTGGTTTATGTTTTTCAGATTGTTCTGCCAGCAGTGTTTGTGTGCATTGCACTGGTGTTCAGCCTCATTGTTCCTCCGTTTGGGAAATACCCAAGTCTGGCTCTGCATCCCAGCATGTATGGAGAGCAGTTTACCTTTATCAGGTAGGGTGTCATTCCCATGTTATCAACCTCTGTCCTAATATCTAGCATTCTTTTGGAAAAATGTAAACCTTCTTTATGTGGGAGGCAAAAGAAAAATCTTTGGGAACCACTGATTTAAAGTGTTCCGTCTCTGCCTTTTCAGTAATGACATACCCGAAGAACCCCACAACAACAAACTGCTGGAAGCTTTGATGGACAAACCAGGATTTGGAACGCGATGCATGGAAGGAGAGCCCATACCGTAAGTAGAAAATAGTAACTATACATGAAGTTTATATATCCAGAAAATGTTAACTTCAGTAAAACAAAAATCAAAATGATGTAGTAATTAGAAAAGTTGAGCTACAGACTAAAATGCTGTTCTCTCTGCGTCCTCCAGGGACACTCCTTGTATTGAGGTGAAGGACGATTGGACGCTCCCTCAGGTTCCTCAAAGTGTCAGTGACATATTCAACAAAGGCAACTGGACCATGGAGAACCCGTCTCCACTGTGTGAATGCAGCTGTGAAGGCCGTAAGAGGATGCTGCCCGAGTGTCCCGCTGGGGCCGGTGGACTTCCACCGCCACAGGTCAGTAGGACCAACAAAATCCTGAACATTTTACTAGTTCAGGTCAATAAAGCTGAACACAGATTCAAGTATGGCAACAAAGTGCTACACACGCAAATTCAACTTGGCACACAGTAATGAAGTATCATGGTTTGTGTTTGTATCCAGATGATGATCAGTGATAAAGACACGCTGCAGAATTTGACTGGTAGAAACGTGTCGGACTACCTGGTCAAAACCTACGCTCAGATCATCGGCAAGAGGTAAAGACTCTTATCGTCCTTTTTTCTGATGTCGCATTTCTTACTTATAAGTTCTAGCCTTTCATTATATGGTTTCTCCTTCTACAGCTTGAACAACAAGATATGGGTCAACGAGTTCAGGTACATTCCAAGACATCATGCATCTTAAAAAAGAAAAAGAAGAAGAAGAAAACATTGATCTGAGTGCTTCTCTGCTATGAGCTGCACTGATGTAATATGTTTGCTCTTCTTAATAGATACGGTGGATTCTCTCTGGGCGCCCGAGGTTCCCATGTTGTGTCCCACACAGGTGATATTGATGAAGCTATTGTGCAACTGAGGCAACTCTTCAAACTTAAAGAGGTAAGAATTACATCCATGCAACAAAATAACTCTGGTTTATGATTGCAGAGTTGTAAATCTTGAAATTTAAGCAACCATATTACATATTTGCTAAAGATCACTCTCTCTGTCTCCTTTCCTTTCTGCCTCAACCATCCTTTAGGGAACGGCAGCCAATCGATTTTTCAGCAGTCTCTCTGGTTTTATCCAAGGATTGGACACAAAAAATAACGTTAAGGTTAGCAACTCTATATGTTTTTGTATTTCACACTTCCAATAGTGCTCTGTTTAAATAATTATTGGTCATAAACAGTTAATATCTTACATGCAGTGCATAATTCTTTGGTGTTTTATTTAGTATAAATCCATATTAGTTGGTTTTCGGAGGCTAAGCTGAGGGCTAGTCTGAGAGGGACCAAAAACATTTGTTGTCTTATAATATTGTCGTAGAAGTTTATTTATTCAAACTTTTTTTCATGTTAAGTTAAGTTGCGTTAAGTGAATGTTTACAACAAATCTGATGAATTTTACATAAGAAATGGCGGTTGAAGGTGGTCATTCATCAGTGATCTTCCTCTGTGAAATACTCATGCAAAGCATTTTCACTCCCAACAATAAATAAAAAGTAAAGACAAAAACATTTTACGAGTTCGAGTTAATACTGCTATTGATTCTTGCATCTTGTTACAACATGGTAAATGAAATAATTTGCCACTACAGGATTTAGGCCCCATTTATATGGAGTAGCTCTTCAGAGAAACTGTAATATTTTTGTCACAGCGCCATATAGAGGCCTGGCATGACAACTACAGCTGACTCAAGGCAGTGCTGTCAAAACGTGACACTTTTCCTCAATAAGCATTCGAAAATACCGACAGCTTCCAGTTGATGTTCTCATGTAAACGTAGAGGAGACTGAAAAGCTTAAGATATCTTGGAATATAATTTTAGAGCTACTTAAAAAATTCACCCAGTTTATCTCAAAGGCAATGGTTTAAATCCAAGTTTAAAATTTCCCCACCCCTTCCTTTAGATTTGGTTTAACAACAAGGGCTGGCACAGCATTGGTTCCTTCCTCAACGTGATGAACAACGCCATTCTGCGGTCGAGTCTCAAACCTGGTCAAGATCCGACGAAGTTTGGCATCACCGCTTACAACCATCCACTAAACCTCACCAAGGAGCAGCTCTCACAAGTTGCACTGTGAGCATCACGGTCAATTTGACATTTGAACGCAAGCGGAAATTTCTCCGTTCTACAATTCTTTCTTGTTGGGTTTTAGGATGACGACGTCTGTGGACGTGTTGGTGTCCATTTGCGTCATCTTCGCCATGTCCTTTGTCCCTGCCAGTTTTGTGGTCTTCCTCATCCAGGAAAGAGTAACAAAGGCCAAGCATATGCAGTTCATCAGTGGAGTGCAGCCCTTGCTCTACTGGCTGGCCAACTTTATTTGGGATATGGTGAGACATTACAAAGTCAACACCACTTGAGTGGCAAAGTATTCTAAGTGGAAATATTAAAAGATCCTCCTCTTCCTTTTCCTTCTCACAGTGTAACTACATTGTTCCAGCTACGCTAGTGATCATCATATTTGTCTGTTTCCAACAAGAAGCCTACGTTTCTTCCACCAATCTACCAGTACTGGCTCTGCTGCTTCTCCTCTATGGGTAAATTGGACAAACTCTCAATACTGAGGCTTTACACTTCAACCACATTCAATGATTTCATGTAAATTTATGTTTTGCTTCTTTTACCAGGTGGTCAATCACCCCTCTGATGTACCCAGCCTCTTTCTTCTTTAAGATCCCCAGCACTGCCTATGTAGTTCTAACCAGTGTCAACATACTGATTGGAATCAATGGCAGTGTGTCCACGTTTGTCCTAGAGTTGTTTGGAAGTAATGTGAGTAAATGTTGCGAGTTTCAGAGTTTCAAACTCTCTGATATTTTTAAAAAAGCATTAGGAAGTTAAATTGGCATTATTTGCATTCCTCTCTCAGGAGATCGGCGGTATCAATGACATCTTGAAGAATGTATTCCTCATCTTCCCTCACTTCTGCCTGGGTAGAGGGCTGATTGACATGGTGAAGAATCAAGCCATGGCTGATGCTTTGGAGAGATTTGGTGAGCCTTTACTTTGACCTGTTATCAATTTCATAGTCATATCATTAACTAGAACAAGAAAAGTTTCATGAAAGGCCATGTTAAAGAGACAAAATGTCTGTTATAGGTGAAAACCGGTTTCGCTCTCCTTTGGCATGGGACATGGTGGGAAAGAACCTGTTCGCCATGGCAATAGAGGGAGTTATTTTCTTCTGCATCACCGTCCTCATTCAGTACCGCTTCTGCTTTAAAGCCAGGTTGGTGAAACATGTCATCAGTCGAGTTACCCTACCACTTACCCAAACATCACAAATGAAAACATCAGTTGTGGGTTGATATTTCAGGCTCTGAAGATCAAGTCCCCTGAAATTTGAACTCTCCTATTTTAAAACCCCACAGATCCTCCACCGGCCACCTGAAACCAATTGGCGAAGAAGATGAAGACGTTGCCAGAGAGCGACAGAGGATCCTGAGCGGCGGTGGACAGTTGGACATTCTTGAGCTGAGGCAGCTCACCAAGATTTACAAGCGGAAACAGAAGCCGGCTGTGGACCGGCTGTGTGTTGGCATCCCTCCCGGAGAGGTATGCCCCAGTTTCCAGAAAATAATACAGAGGGACATGCAAGATTTTTTGTATTCTTTTATGAGATTAAGCAAGTGTGTTGAAATAGTCATAGCAGACATATTCAATGATAAACATTTTCCCTTGTAGTGTTTTGGTTTGCTTGGGGTTAACGGAGCAGGAAAGACCAGCACCTTCAAAATGTTGACTGGAGACTCAGATGTGACCAGCGGTGAGGCCTACTTAGCTGGCAAGAGGTATGAAATAAGACAAGCGTCCTTATTCCTTTTAAAACTAAAATGTCACGTGAAAACTTTGTAGACTAATGTTCTTGTGTGTTTTCTCTGCTTTCAGTGTAAACACAGAAATAAATGAGGTGCATCAGAACATGGGTTATTGTCCTCAGTTTGATGCCATCAATGACCTTCTGACTGGAAGAGAGCACCTCGAGTTCTACGCCATCTTGAGAGGAGTACCTGAGAAGGAAGTCTGCGAGGTCAGCAGCAACACACATCAGTGGTCTTTCATGTCCAACCTACTCCAATGACATGTATATCAAACAAAGAAAAATTCAACTTGTCCAAACATTAAGAAACTTTTTTTTTTCTTCCCCACTAGGTGGCAGAGTGGGGAATACGGAAACTGGGATTGATCAAGTATGTGGACAAAGCAGCAGGGAGTTATAGTGGGGGAAACATGAGGAAACTGTCCACTGCCATTGCACTCATAGGAGGACCACCTGTCGTGTTTTTGGTCAGTGAAACTACATGTTAAAGATGACAATGTTCACATTGATGCTCGCTGATGTATTGCACAGCATATTTCGCCTAAAACTTTGTTACCACTTTTGTAACAGGATGAACCAACAACAGGAATGGACCCTAAGGCACGTCGGGCCCTCTGGAACGCCATCCTGAGCATCATCAAAGAGGGACGGTCCGTGGTCCTCACGTCCCACAGGTCAGTCGAAGCATCTCTATGAACTAATGAATTCAATGAACAATTTCTGTAGTCTCCCTATGTCTGTGTATTGAGTACATGTTTTCTCTCGTGGTTTGTCACAGCATGGAGGAGTGTGAAGCACTCTGCACCAGAATGGCTATCATGGTGAACGGCAGGTTCCGCTGCCTGGGCAGTGTGCAGCACCTTAAAAATCGGTAGGCCTGCACAAATGAAACATTTCATTGCAAAAAATGTTCTTTTGGTAACAAAATAAGGGGTGAAACCTGTAAACCCAAAGTATTTTTTTTTTCACACTCAAATGTCTTTTTCTGCCGTTATTCACACTTAAAAAAAATAAATGTCTTCCACCAGGTTCGGAGACGGCTACACCATCATCTTGCGCGTGGCGGGGCCGGACCCGGACCTACGGCTGGTGATGGAGTTCATAGAGCGGGAATTGCCGGGGAGCACGTTGAAGGAGAAGCACCGCAACATGCTGCAGTACCAGCTCCCCTCTTCGCTCACCTCCCTCGCCCGAATCTTCTCCCTTCTCTCCAAAAACAAGGAGGCACTCAGCATAGAGGACTACTCTGTCTCTCAGACGACTTTAGACCAAGTAAGCAAGCAAACACAAAGTCAGTGGCGGTTCTTGCATTAAGGGGGCCCCACTGTCTACAATCGCCCAACCATGTTCAAAATTCTGATATTGGATAAAACACTGTGCACTGAGAGAAGCAATAGAAAACTTGTTCAAGTTCCATTTTTATCTTGTGCCTGTGCTGCTAACCCACACCTTTTTACTGACACCCTGAGTAACTCACTATAGAAACTGCCACTGTGAAAGATTCAAATTAGTCTAGCAATACCTAATTGTATATATTTTTTCTTTTCGCCTTCCTCAGGTGTTTGTTAATTTCGCCAAGGACCAAAGTGACGAGGACCACTTGAAAGACATCCACCTGAGCAAGCGAGATGCAGTCGTGGTGGACCTTTCTCAATTGAACTCTTTCCTCACAGACAGCAAGACAAGAGAGAGCTGCGTCTGATTTCTGAATCATGCGTCACCCTCTCTCCCTGCAAAAAACCAACGTGGACCACTGACTTGTGGGGGAGACGACCTATGGTCATTTTTTTATTTCTATTTTTTAGTCTTTTTTAATTGTCATCGTGTTTCAGTGAACCTGCGTCTCATCGCACAGCCTCCGATGGAGGCAACGACGGCAGGTTTCGTGACAGACGCTGAAACGATGAAAACTCAATGCAAATCAATGCAAGTCAAATAAACGTATATATTTAAGATTAGAAGGTAGCTGTGTAGAGGTAGGAGACTGGTGCTTCTCCTCTTCACGACGTGGACTGGAAGAAAGAAGACACTTGAAGTGACGGCAGGATCTGAGTTTTTCCGATCGACTGGAAAGTCCAGGTTTCTGACTGCAGAGATAAGAGACTTTGGTGGGGGATAACGCGAAACGAAATCTGGAAGGTTTTCGTCCCCATTCCGCGGAGCAGACGGCAGCAGTCTGCGGGACTGCCTGTAAGCAAGCGACAGCAGAGTTTATGACGTTGTAAAAGCAAAGTCATCGAGTCATTCACTGCCAGCTGTTGAAAGATGGACTGACTAATTTCTTTTTTTATTCAGGGTCAAACCTTTTCTCGATTTCTATTCGTTACCAAGCGTAGTTGTTTTATAATCCAAAAGATGGTTGAAGATAAGCATCTAACAATCCCATTTTAATCTCAAATGTGCAATCATCTGTGTTTTAACCTTTGCTAATCTGGAAAAAGAAAAATCCTTTCAGGGCAAGCATGGTTAAGTTGTTCCTCATGGTTGTCTAATAATTCAAACTGCTAACCTATGTGGGGTTTTTTTTTATGTATTTGGTGTCCTTAACATTGTCCAGCACAGTGCCTATTCTGGTGGAGCGTCAAGCTTGAGCACTCCATTAAAACAACAATGTATGTAGGCTGCCAAGGAATGTATAAGACCAATACCAACATGCAACAAAGCATACGGAAAATAGTTTTATTAGGTTATTGTGAAATGATGTGTGTGTGTGTTTTTTTTTTTTTTTAACTGGTGTCCTTCATTGTCAGAGTCAAAACAAAATATAGTGGTTCTCTTATGTCTGGTTAAGATGTGCACTCTGCTCGTCTGGCTTTACTCATCCTGCCCTCTCTTTTTTTCTTTTTTGCACGGCCACAAGGTGGAGTCATCAGCAGCTCTATTTGTGTGAACCTTATATCTGAAATATGTAAACGTTTTTGGTTGTGGCCTTCGAGAGGGCATGATGGGAGCACTTCAGATCTGAGCCTGTGCTGCATGGATAATATGTACATTTGCAATTTTGTGACGTTAACACTGGAGTGAACTAACCGTCTGTGTGCCAAACAACGCTGAAGGAAGCGAGTGTTTTATAACGTTTATCCATCAGATCAGTTTGAAATATATTCCTCTTTCTGTTATCAGCTGGGGTTGTTGTAAAAAAAAAAAAAAAAAAAAAGTGTGCACTCTCCTTCTTTTCTTAACGAGACTGCAAGTTACATTCATCCTGTGGAAAAATTGCCAAAGTCTGCCCACATCTATTAACTGCAACCGAAGATGAGACAATAGTTTTTAGCAGCTAAACAACCAGCCAGACTAAAAACGAGGACCATGTAAATTAAAATTGTGCTTTTAATACTTTATAGTTAAAAAAAATAAGAATCATCCAGGATTTTAACTGATAGTGGATTGTGATTACAGGTGCTCTGTCTTGTATAAAATCTGGAAAGGGGTTTCAATTATCTCTGGGATCCGCTAACTACAAACTGAGGATTTTATCCTCTTTTTTTTTTTTTTTGAAACCCCCGGTTTTTTAAAAGAATTTGAGCACTTTACAGGCTTAGCAGGCATTTGTTTCCAATTTTTTTTAGACGTACAGATGTAAAAAATAAATAAAAAAAAAATCTCTCCACTGGAAAGCAGACACGAAAAACAACAAAGCTACGCCAACGCAGTGAAATGTTTGCTAGAAACTTGAAGTAGAGAACAAAGGCTTGTGTATTTAAGAGAAATGTGATGAAAATAAGTAAAGAAGTTGAGAAGTAGAAATAGTTGTGAGAAATGCAGGACAGAATGAGGGTGGTGATTCTTCTCTTTTCATTCTCAATATTATTCTTTGTTTACATTTTTAAGTATTACAGCTGTTTGAGTCTGTTACCCATTGTGAATAGTTATTCTTTACATTAATAAAAAAAAAACATGTTTTGAAAACAAATGTCTCCTGACTGTATTATTGTTTATTTTATTCACTTGGTGTTTGTGTACAGTTTGCATTGCACATCAAAATTTTTCTCAGTAGTTATATTTTCAGTCAGATTTCTGATATAAAACTGACATAAGCATCTTCGTAACAACGCATTTAATCCACACATACAAAAAGTGTAAATCAGTCCTTGAATTAAGTTAAATAAAATGGAAAAGCACAAGAAATAACTGTTTTAAATACTTAGGACACTTCTTGTTGCTTATGACAGCTTCTAGACATTTTCTATATGGAGGATATTGCATTTTTTTAATTGCCGGACAATCAAAAAAGCTGTTTGAGGTAAACTTTAAATTAATTTCAAACAATGTTGCACTTGTGGCCTAACGGGCATTCAGGAGTTGCTGCAGTTTAAACAATTTTAAAAGATGTAAATGAGATTGCGAACAGTAGTGTGAACAAGATTCACATCATGTTTTAGTTGTGCTTAAGCATATTCTCCCTTAGCAGTTACTGTTCTGTAAATTGGATTTGTACATCAATATATTGCTAGATGAGGAAGTGAAATCAATAACCCATAAAGTGCTGCAATTTTTAAGTAATTTCAGAGTATAGTTTTACAATTGTTGAAAGTAAAATTATTATTAATGTTTCAGCAATTTTTAAAAAAGTTTTTATTGAACAGATGGGATCTTAGAAATAAGACTTAATTTGAACACACATGCATACTTGTATATGTGGCATTATCTGACCTTTCCCCAAACAGGTCTGGAGGTGGTTTAAATGGACTACCTACAGCAATGGGAAGTAGCAAAAAACACTGCAAAAATGTTTTTAACTTGCCTTAGATGTCAGATAGAAAATTCCGATTAAAAAATCCCCATATGCATTTTTCAATTCGTCTTTGTTTCAGTCATATGAAATCTGCAGTTATAACCTGCCGAGAAACCACAACTGCTCTGCAGAAATGTTTAGTTTTGTGCCGTGAAAATGCACAAAGGTCATGGTACTTTATTATATTGCTAAATGTGTTACGAAATGTTTTTAATAAAAAGTAACTATATCTGACAATCTCAGGATTTATGAAGCTTTCTGGGACTTCTAATAATACTCTGTCCTTCGCCCAGAGCCTCTCTAGTTAAATGTTCTACTTTTGTTCTTGCCATCTGTCACTATATTGGTCTATTCTATTTATGCCTCCATCTGTCCTTCTGTAAAATCCTTTATTTTATCTGTGAAGGTGCTATACATATAACCTTTATTTACTTATTAACATCTCTTCAGCCTCTTACTTGTTAACCTCGCATACAGCATAAAATGCATAATACAGAGAAAAGCGACCGGAAGGTCACAAGATTGATGATGACATTTAGACTTTATTACAATGTGACAAGATGAGATATAATTTTTCCAGTTTGCTTCATAGTATTGATTTTATCAACCGCACGGATCAGCAGCGTCCCTCCCTGACGAACATGATGTCCTCTCTGGTTTTCATGAGGAGAGAATTGAGACATGGCATTGCTGTGATTCACTCATTCAGATGCAATGTCATTTATACTACCAAACAAAACATAGTAACTAATTTTTCTGAACAATTAAAAGTTATTTTTCTTAAGCTTAAAATGTATCTAAGGCGAACGCTTGTGTGAAGGCAGGATAAGATTTGCTAGTTTTTCAATCGTTGTAGGAAAACACTGTAGAAAAACCTTCCTGTCCCTCTCAATGTTTGATTCACACGTATTCTGTTGTATTTCTAAAGACAAATACGACAGAGAGATTTCTTTACACTTAAATATATAAACTCAACAATTGTTTTTTCATCCTTTTTGTCATGAGTTAAACCCAAACATCCAAACTTTTTTCTTTAAACACAATATACATTCTTCTGTCAAATATTTTTTTACAAATCTGTCTTAATCTGTGCAAGAGAGCCCTGCCTTTCTGCCAAGATAATTCATCTTATTTTGCAGGTGTGACATTTAAAGATGCTGATGAGACAGCATGAGTGCACACCATGTGCTTTAGGCCGGCCTCAATAAGAGGACATTCTGAAATGTGCAGATTTCTTTCACTGCAGAGTACTGAAAGGTCAGACAACTACTCAGTACCTACCTTTCCAGTGCAAATGTGTGCAAAACCTTTTTTGATATTCTGTAAATGTAAAAGAACACACACCTACACACGCTCACACACACCAATCATCTTGTGATTAATTCATTGTCTTCACAAAACCATCAGGAAAGCAGAAGTATTTTACGGAGCCGGACTTCTAAACATGCAGAGCAGCCTGTCACTTTTAAGGACAGCACTCTGGGTGACAGGAATTAGTATCAAACCAGTCAATGTTAACACTTTTCGGCTCAGTTAAAACAAATATATAAAAATTCCCTTCTCACCCACCGCGGGTGATTCCCTCCAGCTCGGGTCCTCTACCAGAGGCTGGAGCTTGAGGGTCCTGCAGTATCTTGGCTGTGCCAAGGACTGCACATTTCTGGACTGAGATGTCTGATGTTGTTCCTGGGATCTGTTGTAGCCACTGCTCCAGTTTGGGGGTTACTGCCCCGAGGGCCCCGATGACCACAGGCACCACTGTGGTCTTCACCTTCCAGGCCCTCTCCAGTTCTTCCCTGAGGCCCTGGTATTTCTCCAGTTTCTCGTGCTCCTTTTTCCTGATGTTGCAGTCGCTTGGTATTGCTACATCTACCACAACGGCTTTCCTCTGATGTTTATCCACTACGACAATCTCTGGTTGGTTCGCCATTACCATTCTGTCTGTCTGGATCTGGAAGTCCCACAGGATCTTAGCTCTGGTGTTCTCCACCACCTTTGGGGGTGTTTCCCACTTTGATCTCGGGGTTTCCAGTCCATATTCTACACAGATGTTTCTGTACACTATGCCTGCCACTTGGTTATGTCGTTCCATGTACGCTTTCCCTGCCAGTATCTTGCACCCTGCTGTGATGTGCTGGACTGTCTCAGGGGCCTCCTTGCACAACCTACACCTTGGGTCTTGTCTGGTGTGGTAGATCTGGGCCTCTATTGCTCTGGTGTTTAGGGCCTGTTCCTGGCGGCCAGGATGAGGGCCTCTGTGCTGTCCTTGAGTCCAGCTTTTTCCAGCCATTGGTAGGATTTACTGATATCAGCCACTTGGGTTATTTGCTGGTGGTACATCCCATGTAAGGCAAGGCAACTTTATTTATATAGCACCTTTCAGCCAAAGACAACTCAAAGTGCTTGTACAAGAAAAATAAGGAATACATGCTGTTAGAAAAATAAAATAAATAAAATAAAATATAATATAGACAAAGTAAACATTAAAATTGTAATTATAGTAAATGAGTGGGATTAAAAATTTAAGAATAGACAACTTCAAATAAGAAGGTTTTTAACATTGTTTTAAATAAACTCAAGGTAGGCACAGACTTACAATGAGCAGGAAGTTTATTCCATAGTGTTGGAGCATAAAAACTAAAAGCTGCTTCTCCGTGTTTACTTCTGACTCTCGGTATAGTTAATAGGTTTGAGTCTGATGATCTTAACGGTCTGAGTGGTACGTAGGGTTGCAGAAGACCGGAAATGTAGTTTGGATTTCTATTATGAAGTGCTTTATAAACTATTAAGGAAATTTTAAAGTCAATTCTTTGAGCAACAGGCAGCCAATGCAGAGATCTGAGAACTGGACTCATGTGCTGATCTCTTTTTGTGTTAATAAGGACACTTGCAGCAGCATTCTGGAGGAGCTGAAGCTGTCTTAATGACACCATCATGTCCTCCCATGATGGTATCTCTGGCACCTTAACCTCCGTTCCCTGTTGTCTGAGACATTCACTGAGCACATTGTCTGTTGAGGCTTTGTCCCTGATGTATTTATGGATCTTAGTTGTTTCGTCCTGGACAGTGGTTCTCACACTCATTAGTCCTCTGCCTCCGTCCTTGCGGCTCGTGTACAGTCTCAGGGTGCTGGATTTGGGATGGAACCCTCCATGCATGGTTAGTAGTTTTCTGGTCTTAATATTTGTGGCTTTTATCTCCTCCTTTGGCCAGCTAATTATTCCAGCAGGGTATCTGATTACTGGCAAGGCATATCTGTTTATCGTACGGATTTTGTTCTTCCCATTGAGCTGGTTTCTCAGGATTTGCTCAGTAGACGCCCACTTCCACCAGGTGTTTGCTAATTGAATCTTCTGAAGGAGACGAGTGGAGGAGTGGTGGTGGAGGTTCTGCTCTATGAGGCTAAAGCTCAGCTTGGAGTTTCTGATGACATTTCAACATGAATGTTACAATGTTTCAGAAGTGGCGCTCGGTTCACCCAGGCGTTTTGCACAGCTGAGTGTTTGCCATGGGAGATTAAAGGATTTCTCTAACTTGCATGAAAGAATCAAAGCAAAACTCCAGGTATGATTTTGATGAGGGGAAATCATTCTAACATGATGTAAAGCTCAAAAAGGTTGATTTTAGACAATAATACTGTCCCTTCAATATTTATTTTCAAATGAACTAGTTCTACTGGCAGGTTTTTCAACAAAAAAGGGAAAACAATCTGTCAGTGTAACTTGTACTTTATCAATATTAAGACATTATTGACATAAAAGCAGCTCCTACATCTTGGAGAGAAGTTCCTTGTGATATAGTTTTATCAAGTGTAGTAAGATATTTGTACCATAACTACACAAAAATACTTGGTAAGATTTTTGTTTTTTCAGTGTATAATATGCATCATAGATTGTTTAATAATATTGAGAGAAAAACCAGAAGGTCACAGGTTGATCAAACGTAAGACTTTATTACAATGAGACAACGATGGATTTTTCTGGGCACCTCATGGTGTTGATTTGATAAACCATCCAGGTCAGCAGTGTCCATCTTTGGAGATCGAGATTTTCTCTTTGGTTTTACTGAGGAGAGAATTGTGACATGATATAGCAGTGATTCAGTGGCAAATGGTATTTTTGGCAATTAATAAAACAAATAGGTGATTTTTTTTCTGGACTATTAGAAGTCAAAATGTGTCTAAGGTGAAAACTTTGATCAAAAAAGACAAGTGTCAGCTGAGTCGACTCACTGCATCTCCTTGCAGAGGAGACACTCATTTCCATAAGTCTGACCATTGCTTCCACACACAGGGCGCACACTTAATGTGCATACAAATATCTCTGGATCAGGACATTCAGCCTGTTGGACATATAAAAACTCAGCATTACATAAAAGTCTGCTTAATAATAGTAAGTTTTATTCGTAGAGGAAAAAAAATATTTGATTTTGAAATTCATATCACCTTTCTTGATCCAGACATGCCTGCAGCAATGTTTTAAAAACAAAAAGCAAATCCATTTTTATAATCCAACTTACATTTAACCATATTGACTCAAAGTTGGTATATCTAGCTTTAGATTACTACTTTTACCCATTAGTATCAGTACCAATACAACTGCAAGGTGTCTATTATACATTCAAAACACAATTTAGATAATTTAATGTTTTTATGCAGTGAACAGCGGAGAAATAAAACTATTTATTGTAAAATAAAGAATAAAATTAAAAATTAAAAACTACTTCGAAAAAATACCTTCCAAAAAAATTAAACAAGAATTTTTATTTTTAATTTTTACCTGCTGCAACACAAATGACCAGAAGCCCCAGCCAAAGTCTTCCAGTCATGGTGTTCGTTGATGAATAACTGAGTGGACCGATCGGTGGGTGTATATATACAGGTCTACTGTCAGTCACCGCCTCTGATTATATGTAGCTGTTTGCTGGGAGTGAGCAACGCAGGGACTCCCTGATCCACACCTCCAGGGACGTCAGAATGTAATTTAGTCTGGATGATTGCAAAAAAGTTAAGGGAATAGTAGAAGGGAGAACAGCAGATGGTTAAGAGAACTCAACCAAGAAACTCATCTGGCCATGATGCCAACGCAAGTAGGAGTTTGCCTAGTAACTGTTAGCTTGATGGGATGAGCACGTGTTTTGTCCGCTGTCATCATTGAGTCCTTGGGCAAGACGTTTCACCAACCTTGTCTGCTGTTGGTGGTCAGAGGGACCAGTGGCACCAGTCAGACTAACTTAGCAACAATCCAGTAGATTGCTACCATCAGTGTGTAAACAGGTGAATGTAGTGTGAAGTGCTTTCATCTTGATAAATCAGCCACAGGCCGTTTATCAATAACAAAACTATAAGTTCCTTGTAATACAATAAACAGATGGCAACCACAAAGAGACCACTAGGAAGGAGCAAGAGACGAGACGAGAACCTGCAACGAGTCGAGCAAATGTTTAGAAGTCAGCGAAATCGCAAGAGCAAGAGTAAGGTCCAGGTAACTGGTATGTCATACTGGTGATGAGTTGCCCAAAGAATGAAATATATACCTGTGATGTTAAACATGAATGGTATTCAGCACTGCACCCAAATCCAGTATCCACAGGCTATCCACTAATAACACAGGAGGCGAACGAACGCAAGACCCGTTGCGGGGTAACAAAACCTATCGCTAGAGAATGCAATACTTTGCGATGTTGCACAAAATAACAAAAAAATCCCTTATGTCCCCTACAGGTCTCTGTAATATATATCAAATATGACTTAAGAGAAATTTGACTATTTGTCTTGAAATTCAGCTTCTGTCTCTTTAAAAACTCCTGCTCTTTCTGAAACTCCGCCTTCAGGAAGTCATCACAACGTTGCTCCCCTATCAGCCCTTCAATAACATTTTCCAGTGTTTCACTAGCAGGTCGCTTATAATGAGCTCAGTAGACGCCCACTTCCACCAGGTGTTTGTAATTGAATCTTCTGAAGGAGACGAGTGGAGGAGTGGTGGTGGAGGTTCTGCTCTATGAGGCTGAAGCTCAGCTTGGAGTTTCTGATGACATTTCAACATGAATGTTACAATGTTTCAGAAGTGGCGCTCGGTTCACCCAGGCGTTTTGGACAGCTGAGTGTTTGCCATGGGAGATTAAAGGATTTCTCTAACTTGCATGAAAGAATCAAAGCAAAACTCCAGGTATGATTTTGATGAGGGGAAATCATTCTAACATGATGTAAAGCTCAAAAAGGTTGATTTTAGACAATAATACTGTCCCTTCAATATTTATTTTCAAATGAACTAGTTCTACTGGCAGGTTTTTCAACAAAAAAGGGAAAACAATCTGTCAGTGTAACTTGTACTTTATCAATATTAAGACATTATTGACTTAAAAGCAGCTCCTACATTCTAGAAAGAAGTTCCTTGTGATATAGTTTTATCAAGTGTAGTAAGATATTTGTACCATAACTACACAAAAATACTTGGTAAGATTTTTGTTTTTTCAGTGTATAATATGCATCATAAATTGTTAAATAATATTGAGAGAAAAACCAGAAGGTCAGAGCTGATCAATCTTAAGACTTTATTACAATGAGACAACAATGGATTTTTCTGGGTTGCCTCATGGTGTTGATTTGATCAACCATACAAGTCAGCAGGCTCCTTGTCTTTTGACCAAGATGTTCTTCTTGGATTCACTGAGGAGAGAATTGTGACATAGTTGCAATTCAGTCATTCAACTCAGATATTATTCATAGCAACAAATAATTTTTTTTTTTTTAAAGTCATTTTTCTGGACAATAAAAAGTGAAAATGTGTCTCAGGTGAAAAGTTATGTCAAGGAAAGATAGGAATTCATACTTTCTATTTCATTCTCTAAAGAATAAAAACACTCAATGATTGATTTGCACTTTTTTCTGTATTTCTAAAGTGAAAAGGAGAGATCTTTTTGTATAAACAGATTTCAATGTCACGTGGGGTGACCACTGGGTTGGGACAAAAGTATTTTATTTTCCAAAGAATCAGGTCAGCTGACTTAAAATTAACACGTGAATCATGTTTGTGCAACTGCTGAGTTTACTCACTGGATCTCCTTGCAGAGGAGACACTCATTGCCATAAGTCAGTCCATTACTTGCACACACAAGGTTCATATTCGTATTGCATTGCCAAATCTCAAGATCAGCACAAACAGCCTGTTGGACACATGTAAAATGCAACATTACTTAAAATTCTGCTCAAACATAATCATGTTTACTCAAATTTTAGATGAATATTTCATTCTAAAGTTCATGTCACCTTTCTTGCTGATTCAGCCTTGCCTGCAGCAATTTTAGGAAGAAACAAAACAAGTTTACCTTTATAATCCAACTTAAATATAACCATGTTGACTTCACAGTTGATATAACCAGCTTTAGAGGACTACTTTCAGCCTGGAGTACAATTCTTTCTGTAAGGTGTCTATTATGCATTCAAATAAGAATTTAGATAATTTAACATGTGTATTACTATCATAGGACAACACCATAATACAGTGATTTACATAAATGTTTAAAAATCTACTATGTAAAAAAATTTAATAATGAAAAAAAATCTACATTGAAAAAATACCTTCAAAGCAAGTTAAACAAGAAGATAGTTAATATTTTTACCTGCTGCAACACAGATGACCAGAAGCCCCAGCCAAAGTCTTCCAGTCATGGTGTTCGTTGATGAATAACTAAGTGGACCGATCGGTGGGTGTATATATACAGGTCTACTGTCAGTCACCGCCTCTGATTATATGTAGCTGTTTGCTGGGAGTGAGCAACACAGGGACTCCCTGATCCACACCTCCAGGGACGTCAGAATGTAATTTAGTCTGGATGATTGCAAAAAAGTTAAGGGAATAGTAGAAGGGAGAACAGCAGATGGTTAAGAGAACTAAACCAAGAAACTCATCTGGTCATGATGCCAACGCAAGTAGGAGTTTGCCTAGTAACTGTTAGCTTGATGGGATGAGCACGTGTTTTGTCCGCTGTCATCATTGTGTCCTTGGGCAAGACGTTTCACCAACCTTGTCTGCTGTTGGTGGTCAGAAGGACCAGTGGCACCAGTCAGACTAACTTAGCAACAATCCAGTAGATTGCTACCATCAGTGTGTAAACAGGTGAATGTAGTATGAAGTGCTTTGGGATCCTTTCAACTTGATAAATCAACCACAGGCCATTTACCAATTACCAAAACTATAAGTTCCTTGTAATACAATAAACAGATGGCAACCACAAAGAGACCACTAGGAAGGAGCAAGAGACGAGACGAGAACCTGCAACGAGTCGAGCAAATGTTTAGAAGTCAGCGAAATCGCAAGAGCAAGAGTAAGGTCCAGGTAACTGGTATGCCATACTGGTGATGAGTTGCCCAAAGAATGAAATTTAGACCTGTGATGTTAAACATGAATGGTATTCAGCACTGCACCCAAATCCAGTATCCACAGGCTATCCACTAATAACACAGGAGGCGAACGAACGCAAGACCCGTTGCGGGGTAACAAAACCTATTGCTAGAGAATGCAATACTTTGCGATGTTGCACAAAATAACAGAACATCCCTTATGTCCCCTACAGGTCTCTGTAATATATATCAAATATGACTTAAGAGAAATTTGACTTCTTTGTCTTGAAATTCAGCTTCTGTCTTTTTAAAAACTCCTGCTCTTTCTGAAACTCCGCCTTCAGGAAGTCATCACAACGTTGCTCCCCTATCAGCCCTTCAATAACATTTTCCCAGTGTTTCACTAGCAGGTCGCTTATAATGAGCTCAGTAGACGCCCACTTCCACCAGGTGTTTGTAATTGAATCTTCTGAAGGAGACGAGTGGAGGAGTGGTGGTGGAGGTTCTGCTCTATGAGGCTGAAGCTCAGCTTGGAGTTTCTGATGACATTTCAACATGAATGTTACAATGTTTCAGAAGTGGCGCTCGGTTCTGTTGTGAATCTGGAGGTGCGCCTTCAGCTTCTCCTCCAGGGGGCGTCGTGACACTGCGTGGGGGCGTGACTGGTGGTTTTTTCCTGCACACCTGTGGCCACTTACTTCATCGGGAGGAGTACTTCTGGAAGATCACGCCAACACTCCAGTGTCAGAGTGTTGCTCGCCTATGGTAGAACCTGTGCTAAGTTAACCTCAGACCAACCAGATCTGGTTCCTACCGCTTTCCTGTCATCCGCCTTCAGGTCCTGTTTTCCGTGTTCTCCTGGCAGTCTGTTCCACCTGGATTCTCGTTGGCCAGGAGATTCATCGAGACGTGAGCTCTGATCCTCCCTGTGGCTCCTGAGAACCGCTTCTCCAATCCGCCTTCCTGCGACGCCGCCGCCTGTTCCTCCCTGCAACCCTCACTGTCACATTTTTGTTGTTGCAATAAATCTCACTGCACTTACCTCTCCTCCTGAGTGTGTTCTGCGCATGTGGGTTCGCCGAGCTAATCAAAACATGACAGGTTCACCCAGGCGTTTTGCACAGCTGAGTGTTTGCCACGGGAGATTAAAGGTTTCTCTAACTTGCATGAAAGAATCAAAGCAAAAACTCCAGGTATGATTTTGATGAGGGGAAATCATTCTAACATGATGTAAAGCTCAAAAAGGTTGATTTTAGACAATGATAGTGTCCCTTCAATATTTATTTTCAAATGAACTAGTTCTACTGGCAGGTTTTTCAACAAAAAAGGGAAAACAATCTGTCAGTGTAACTTGTACTTTATCAATATTAAGACATTATTGACTTAAAAGCAGCTCCTACATCTTGGAGAGAAGTTCCTTGTGACAGTTTTGTCAAGTGTAGTAAGATATTTGTACCATAACTACACAAAATACTTGGTAAGATCTTTATTTTTTTCAGTGTTGTGAATATAATATGCATCATAAATTGTTGCATTATATTGAGAGAAAAACCAGAAGGTCACAGGTTGATCACATTTAGATTTTATTACAATGAGACAACGATGGATTTTTCTGGGTTGCCTCATGGTGTTGATTTGATCAATCATTCAAGTGAGCAGGGTTCGTCTTTGGCGACCGAGATGCTCTTCTTGGTTTCACTGAGGAGAGAATTGTGACATGACATAAAGCGATTCAGTCATTCGACTCAGATATTATTTATAGCAACAAATAAAATAAAGCAAGTAATTTTTCTGGGCAATTCAGTCGAAATGTGTCTCAGGTGAAAACTTGTGTCAAGAAAAGACAAGAATCTCTTTTTTTACTTTATTCTCTAAAAAATAAAACATTCAATGGTTGATTCTCACTTTTTTTTTTTACTGTATTTTTACATAAAAAGACTGGCGACATCATTTTGTATGAAGAACTTTCAATGTCACATTGAATAAACCAGTAGGTTGGGACTAAAGCATTTTATATTTCAAAGTTTAGGTGACTTAAAATAATTAAGTGAATCATTGAGTGTGGAGCAGCTGAGTGTACTCACCCCATTTCCTTGCAGAGGAGACACTCATTGGGATAAGTGATTCCATCGCTGCCACATACGGGGCGTATTGTGTATGTACATTCCCAAAAATTATCAAGGAAACAATCAGCCTGTTGGAGACACAAAAAAAGCAACATTACTTAAGTTCTGCTCTAACACAATACGTTTTGTTCAAACATGAGATAAATATTTATTCTAAAATTCATATCACCTTTCTTGATTCAGCCTCGCCTGCAGCAATTTTAGAAAAAAAAAGAAAGCAAATTTACTTTTATAATCCAACTTACATTTAACCATGTCAACTTCAAGTTGATATAACCAGCATTAGATGACTACTTTCAGCCCTGAGTGTCAGTATTAATCAAGAGGTAAGGTGCCTATTATGAATTCAAAAGACAATTTAGACCATTTAATGTGTATTTTTATCATACGACTTCACAATAATGCAGTGATCAGTATAAACAGTTAAAAATATTATTTGTAAAATAAAGAAACAACTTTGAAAAAATACCTTCAAAGCAAGTTAAACAAGAAGATAGTTAATATTTTTACCCGCTGCAACACAGATGATCAGAAGCCCCAGCCAAAGTCTTCCAGTCATGGTGTTCGTTGATGAATAACTAAGTGGACCGATCGGTGGGAGTATATATACAGGTCTACTGTCAGTCACCGCCTCTGATTATATGTAGCTGTTTGCTGGGAGTGAGCAACGCAGGGACTCCCTGATCCACACCTCCAGGGACGTCAGAACGTAATTTAGTCTGGATGATTGCAAAAAAGTTAAGGGAATAGTAGAAGGGAGAACAGCAGATGGTTAAGAGAACTCAACCAAGAAACTCATCTGCCCATGATGCCAACGCAAGTAGGAGTTTGCCTCGTAATTTGTGGCTTCATGGGTTGAGCACGTGTTTTGTCCGCTGTCATCATTGAGTCCTTGGGCAAGACGTTTCACCAACCTTGTCAGACTACCTTAGCAACAATCCAGTAGATTGCTACCATCAGTGTGTAAACAGGTGAATGTAGTGTGAAGTGCTTTGGGATCCTTTCAACTTGATAAATCAACCACAGGCCATTTACCAATTACCAAAACTATAAGTTCCTTGTAATACAATAAACAGATGGCAACACCAAAGAGACCACTAGGAAGGAGCAAGAGACGAGACGAGAACCTGCAACGAGTCGAGCAAATGTTTAGAAGTCAGCGAAATCGCAAGAGCAGGAGGAAGGGCCAGGTAACTGGTATGTCATACTGGTAATGAGTTGCCCAAAGAATGAAATTTAGACCTGTGATGTTAAACATGAATGGTATTCAGCACTGCACCCAAATCCAGTATCCACAGGCTATCCACTAATAACACAGGAGGCGAACGAACGCAAGACCCGTTGCGGGGTAACAAAACCTATTGCTAGAGAATGCAATACTTTGCGATGTTGCACAAAATAACAGAACATCCCTTATGTCCCCTACAGGTCTCTGTAATATATATCAAATATGACTTAAGAGAAATTTGACTATTTTGTCTCTAAATTCAGCTTCTGTCTCTTTAAAAACTCCTGCTCTTTCTGAAACTCCGCCTTCAGGAAGTCATCACAACGTTGCTCCCCTATCAGCCCTTCAATAACATTTTCCCAGTGTTTCACTAGCAGGTCGCTTATAATGAGCTCAGTAGACGCCCACTTCCACCAGGTGTTTGTAATTGAATCTTCTGAAGGAGACGAGTGGAGGAGTGGTGGTGGAGGTTCTGCTCTATGAGGCTGAAGCTCAGCTTGGAGTTTCTGATGACATTTCAACATGAATGTTACAATGTTTCAGAAGTGGTGCTCGGTTCACCCAGGCGTTTTGCACAGCTGAGTGTTTGCCACTGGAGATTAAAGGATTTCTCTAACTTGCATGAAAGAATCAAAGCAAAACTCCAGGTATGATTTTGATGAGGGGAAATCATTCTAACATGATGTAAAGCTCAAAAAGGTTGATTTTAGACAATGATAGTGTCCCTTCAATATTCATTTTAAAAAGTACTAGTGGCACTGGTGGTTTGTAAAAAATATCTGATTAACCAAAACTCTTTCAGTGTAACTTGTACTTTATCAATATGAAGACATTATTGACTTAAAAGCAGCTCCTACATCTTGGATAGAAGTTCCTTGTGACATAGTTTTATCAAGTGTAGTAAGATATTTGTACTAGAACTACACAAAAATACTTGGTAAGATCTTTATTTTTTCAGTGTATAATATGCATCATAAATTGTTAAATAATATTGAGAGAAAAACCAGAAGGTCACAGGTTGATCACACTTAGATTTTATTACAATGAGACAACGATGGATGTTTCTGGGTTGCCTCATGGTGTTGATTTGATCAATCATTCAAGTGAGCAGGGACCTCGTTTGATGACCAAGATGTTCTTGTCGAATTCCCTGAGGAGAGAATTGTGACATAGTTGCAATTCAGTCATTCAACTGATATTTATTTATGAAAACAAATGAAACAAAGTAAGTCATTTTTATGGACAATTCAAAGTCAAAATGTGTCTAAGGTGAAAACTCATGTCAAGGAAAGATAGGAATTCATACTTTTTATTACATTCTCTAAAGAATAAAAACACTCAATGATTGAGTTGCACTTTTTTGTTGTATTTCTAAAGTGAAAAGGAGAGATCTTTTTGTATAAACAGATTTCAATGTGACCACTGGGTTGGGACAAAAGTATTTTTTTTAATTTTCCAAAGAATCACCTAAGTGACTTAAGATTAATATGTGACTCATTGAGGGTCTAGTAGATGTGTGTACTCACCGGTTCTCCTTGCAGAGGATACACTCATTGGCATAAGTGACTCCATCACTGCCGCACACAGGGAGCCACATCTTTATGCATCCGAAGCGCTTTTCACCCGAACATTTAGGCTCTCTGGCCTGTGAAAAACGCAACATTACACAAAATTCTTCTGAATCATAGTTTTATTCATACATTTAACCGCTAATTTCACCTTATTCTTTCCCGGAGACCTCTTGTATGCAGCACCTACATAAAAAAGAAAGCAAGTGTCACTTTTATAATCCAAATTACATTTAATAATGTTGACTTCAAAGTTTATATAACCAGCTTTTGATCACTACTTTTATCCCTGATTATCAATATGAATTAAGCTATAAGGTGTCTATTATGCATTCAAAAAATGTGTAATTTTGGATGCTTTTTTTTTTCTTTATAGTAAGACCTAACCATAATGTAATGATCAGTATGAACAGTTAAAAATATCCTTTATAAAAAATCTAATTAAATATAAAGTAAAAAACAATTGAATCAAGAAGATATGTAATTTTTTTACCTGTTGCGATACAGATGATCAGAAGCCACAGCACAATAAGTCTTCCCTTCATGGTGGATAACTCAGAATAAGCAAGTATGCAGGCATATATATACAGGTCTACTATCAGTCACCGCCTCTGATTATATGTAGCTATTTGCTAGGAGTGAGCGACACAGTCGCTCCGTTACGCACACCAGAAGGATTTTTTTTAGCTGGATATCAGATTGTTATTCGCTCTGGATGATGACAAAAAGAAGGAAGGTAATACATGTACAGACTATAAAGTGTATTTAGTCTTTAGTTCATTTTATGGACTTTTTTTTACATTAATCTCACTTTACTTGTTTGGTCAGTGTTGACAACTTGCTTTTTGGTGTTGAATTTACTTAAAAGTTACACATTTTAACTTAAAGAAATTATTTGTGGTTGCCCTACAGGGCACAACCCATTAGTCCTTGATGTGGCTGCAGGTTTGATTCCCGGCATGACGACCTTTGCCACATGTATTGCCCCTCTTTCATTACCCACTTTTCTGCCTAACTACTCTCAGAAAAAGGCCACCACAACCAATAAAACTTCTTTTAAATGATCCTTTCTTAGTTTACTTCTTTATTTGAAGTAAGCTTCATGACTTGAGTAAGACTGACTTAAATTTGTCAAGTTAAACCAAAATAATAAATTAAGTTGGATAAATGTAACTGAATGATTGTTACTAATTGAAGAAATTTCATTAAGTTGTTTCAGCTATTTTTTTTTTCAGTGTAGAAGTAATAGCAGATGGGAGAACAGCAGATGTTGGAGAACTCAATTAAGAAACTCATGGGCCGATGATGCCGTAACAGGTGGGTTGCCAGTTTGAGCACCCATTCTATCCTCTTTCATCGATGTGTCCTTGGGCAAGACGTTTCACCAACCTTGTGTGCTGTTGGTGGTCGGAGGGACAAGTGTCACCAGTCAGATTACCTTACCAACAATCCAATAGATTGCTACCATCAGTGTGTGAATGGGTGAAAGTAGTGTGAAGTGCTTTGGAGTCCTCTGGACTTGATAAAGCACCAATCAAGAACAGGCCATTTACCAATTACCAGAACTATGAGTACCATGGAATACCATAAACAAAAGGAAAGCAGCAATAGGCAAATCCTGAGATGTCTGCTAAATCACAACAGCAAGGTCTGGGTAACAGCAATAAGTTGCCCAAAGAATGTAATTTAGACCTGTGATGCTAAACATGAATGGTACTCAGCACTGCACCCCAAATCCAGTATCCAGAGGCTATCCACTAACAGCACAGGAGGCAGATGTCTGGTGAGCATCAGTACCGCATCCAACATGAAACGTCCAAGCTCAGAATATCCAAATCCAAGCTCTGATGTACTCGTCTTCTTGTGTTCAAGATTACTGACTTGTAACCAAAGTCAGTAGCATGCTAGCAACAGTTAGGCTAGCATAACAGCCTCACTTTTTCCATATTTTCTTCAAATTAAAACTTTTTCCTCACCTGTTAAATGTGAAACCCTTGAACCTTGTTATCTGTGGCTGTCAAAGGGCTGAATAAACTGCTAAATATTGCATCCTTTTGCCTGATTTCCTGACTAATCCAGTATCATGCTGCTGCCTCGCGCTCTGTCTCTGGCTTGCCGCTAATTTGGAGCCGGTTGCACTGTGTTGCATTCAATGTTGTCGGAAAACAGAGATCCATCCTCTGACGGTCAGTTTTGCCTTTACTGTTTCTTGAACTCAGAATCTCCAGTTGGGGAGGCAACTGCCACACCCTGCCACCCCAGTAGATCTGCCCCTGTTCGAAAGGGAGCAGAAGCTTTGGGTTCAAGCATCACAAGTTTTGAGAAGGAAGACATGAAGTCCCGCTTTCAATCTGAAAATGTTATTGAAAGTTTCGAGACTGAAAATGTGTTAAAAATCCTCCCATAGCACAGCTGTATGGTTGCAATGGGACATTGACGGATTTCTCGAACATGTATGAAAGAATCAAAGCAACACGCCAGCAATGTTTTTGATGAGGGAATAACATCATTTTTTGAGCTTTCGGTGTAAAGCTCAAAACTCGTTCCACTGGCAGCTCCTTTCACTTAAAACGTGGAAAAAATGTTTCATGTGTTTAAAAAAATATGCCCATGGAATATTAATAAATTATTCACAAGCTCCTATATCTCGGAAAGAAGTTGCTTGTAACTTATTTTTGTTTTATTTCAAATGTACTATGATATTTGCACTTTAATACTAAAATACTTGATCAAATGTTGTTGTTTTGCAGTGTGGTGAACACTAATGAAGCCACAATTTATACACAAAGTGTTGTGTAATATTGAGAAAAGCAACCAGAAGGCCACAGGTTGATGAAACTTAACTTTATTACAATGCGACAACAGTGGGTTTAATTTTTCTGGGTTGCCTCGTAATGTTGATTTTGTCAAACACACAGGTCAGCAGGGTCCCTCTTTGGCGATCCAGATGTCCCTTTTGGTTTCACTGAGGAAAGAATTGTGACATGACAAAGCAGCGACTCAGTCATTCAGCCTGTTATTTATAACAACAAAATAACAAATTAAGTCATTTTTCTGGACAATTACAAGTTAAAAAGTGTCTAAGGTGAAAACTTGTGTCAAAGAAGAACAGGAATTCCTTTAAAAAAAAAACTCCATGTTTGAATTGCATCTACATATATTACCAGGTTGGGACTAAAGCAATTTTATTTTCCAAAGAATCGGGTTAGGTGACTTAAAATTAACGTGTGAATCATGAGTGTGGAGCAGCTGTGTGTACTCACACTATCTCCCTGCAGAGGACACACTCATTGCTGTAAGTGACTCCATCGCTGCCGCACACAGGGTCCAAAATCTTTGTGCATCTCCCGATCTTTCCATCAGGACAAGAAGGCTGCCAGACATATGAACAACCAACATTAAGTAAAATTCTGCTCAAACATAGTAAGTTTTGTTCATGCAGGAATTAATGTTTAATTCTTAAATTCATATCACCTTCCTTGTGGATCCAGACTTGTCTGTAGCATCTTTAGAAAAAATAAAAGAGTGTCTCTTTTCATAATCCAATTTACATTTAACCATGTTGACGTCAGAGTTGCAATAACCAGCTTTAGAAAACTACTTTCAACCCTGAGTATCAGTACAAATCAAACTGCAAGGAGTCTATTATGCATTCCAAAGAACGTAGAAATTTTTATGCATATTATTATTATTGGACTTCACCTTAATGCTGTGATTGTCATAAACAGTTAAGAATCTCCTTTATAAAAACAAATAAGTAAAAACTACTTTGAAAAAATGCCTTCAAAACAAATAAAATAAGAAAATACTTAAAGTTTTTACCTGCTGCAATACAGACGATCAGAAGCCCCAGAACAACAAGTCTTCCAGTCATGGTGTTTGTTGATGAATAACTCTGAATAAGCAGATATGGGGGGTGTATATACAGGTTTACTATCAGGCACCGCCTCTGATTTGTGAGGTGTGAGCGACACGGTGACTCACACCCCCAGAACGTACAGCAGGGACATCAGAATGTAATTCATAACTATACCTTGGAAAAGCGCAGACAAATGGGAACCACCAAGAGCCCACAAGGAAAGCAGCAACAGGCAAATACCTGCAACGAGTAAGTTTGCAAAGTTTGCGACGTCAGCTGAATTGCAAGAGCAAGGTCCAGGTAACTGATATGCCTTGTTGGTATTATATTGCCCAAAGAATGAAATTTAGACCTGCGATATTTTTAAAAAAATGGTACTCATCATCACTACACACCATATCCAGAATCCACATCTGCCTCCACTAACAGCACAGGAGGCAGATGTCTGGTGAGCATCAGAATCACCATGAAATATCCAAGCTCCAAGAATATATGAAACACACAGTGAATGCTTCACATTCACGTTAGGGAAGAGAAGGAGCTGAAGGAACCATCATAGGAAGAAAATCCCCCATATGAAATGTACCATCAACACATAGGAGAAATAGTTGATATGAGCGAATGCCACAAATAGCTGGCGAGGGCCGAACTGAAGAACAGGAGAACAAACCATGGCAGCACAGAAGCAGGTCTTGAGCACCAGAGCAATAGAGGCCGCAGATCTACCAAACAAGAACATTTATGCAGAATATGAGCGAGAAGCCACTGGGTCAAAGTGAGCATCATCCCCTCAGGTGGTGGAGAAAGACTGAGCTAGATTCCCGTAGGACAGTGGCAACGGTAATAGGAGTCAGTGGATTGCGAGTTTGGTCACTATTCGTGTGTCCTTGTTCAAGACACCTCATCTGCCTTAGCATGGCAGATGAGGCCATACTGCCTCGTACTATGTGGCCATCCCTTTTGATGGCAACACATGGCACATTAAACTGGAGATATACCAGTGAGTTAGGGAAGAGCATGTGGTACTTGAAGGGTCTTTGGGGAAGAGGTTACATCCAGATAACTGGAGAAATCCCAGTCCAGAAGTCCGAGGAACAGCTAAGATTCCAAGAACCCTCAAAGTCTTCTAACGATACATCTGGGAAGTATTCTCTGCACTTCATTTTTCCCACATTTTATGTTACAACCTTGTAACATTTTATGTTACAGCCTTGTTTTAACTGAAGTATCAAATAAGCTTCTTCTTTTATGTTTATTTTAAACTTTTTCTTTGGTTTGGTCACATGTTTTGCAGTATCTTTATGTCAGTGCAAGATATGATGGTGGCTATTTTACGAACAGCTGTCAACCTCCCACACATACACACACCCACACACACGTACACGCACACACACACACACACACACACACACACACACACACACACACACACACACACACACACACACACACACACACGCACGCACACACCCATGCACACAGAAGTAAACACAGTTAAGAGAGAGACATTAGGGGTAGGTTGTCATCAAATCTCATTTTGACAGGTGCCATGCCCCTTTGACCTCTATTTAACCCCCCCCCCCAACCCCCCCACCCCCCTCCTCCTCCTTGTTGGATTTCATAAAATCCAACAAACAATGACAAAATGTGTAAACAACTATAAACACTTTTGTAACGAAGATGCATTTTTCCATCTGGTTTCTGTTTAATTTATCTCCAGTATCTCTCTAGGCTTCCTTATGAACCTTGCATACAATGTTGCACAGTTTTGAGGAAAACAACAAGAAGGTGACAAATTCTGATACTTTATTGCAAAATGACAGCAGTGGGCGTCATTTTCCGGCTTGCGTTACGGCGTCGACTTTATCAACCGTACAGGTCAGCAGCTTTGCTCCTTCACGATCAAGATGTCCATCTTGTTTTGTCTGAGGAAAGATTAGTGACACATGACACAGCAGTGATTCACTCTTTCATCTGAGGTTTGGAGTTTTTTTTTTTTTTTCCTAAACCAAAAATGTGTGTAAGGATTTATTTTTCAAAACCACTATAGAAAAACCTTCCCATTCCTGTTTAATGGTTGATTCACACCTAAATGTGCTGTATTTAAAAATAGACATAAAATAGCTAAATCTGTTCTGCAAAGAAAACTGGAGAGATGCTTTTGCACAGAAAGGTTATAACTACACATTAACCAGGGGGCGATGAAAGCATTTTTTTTTCCCTCAAAAAAATATCTGCTGGGGTGACCCAAAAATGAATCTGTGAATCTCAGGGTTGTGGAGCAGCTGTGTGTACTCACTGTCTCTGGACGCAGAGGAGACACTCATTGGCATAAGTGTTTCCATTGCTGCCGCACACAGGGGCAAAGTTCATGGGGCATGCCATGATTGTCTCCAGAGTAGGACAAGAAGGCTGACAGGCATTAAAACAACACAGCATTAAATTCTGCTCAATTATATAGGCAGTTTTCTACTTGAATGAACTAAATGCTTCATTCTTAAATTCATATCACCTTTCTCATAAGTCCAGACTTGTCTGCAGCATCTTTAGAAAAAAAAAGAAAGCAAGTGCCTAAGTGTTTAGGTCAGAGTTCATTTAACTTTACGGCTTTAAATAACAAACTACTTTCAGCCCTGAGTGCCTGCAAAGTGCCTATTATGCATTCTAAAGGGAAATCTAGATCTTTTTGTATCCTTTTCTGTTTCTACTGTAGCATTTGACCTTAACATAGTGAACAGCACAAAGAAACCTTTATCACAGCAGCACTCATGAGCAGAGATAAAAAAATTGTTACAACTGTTCTTTGCTACAAAACGACTTAGAGGAATACTTTCAAAGCATATTAACTGAGAAAATACTTAATTTTTTCTTTTACCTGCTGCGACACAGATGAGCAAAAGTCCCAGTACAAGTCTCCCAGCCATGATGTCGGTGGACGAATAACTCAGACTGAACAAATACTTCTCTCTTTACAAGTTCCTTAACAGAGAAACATTAGGGGTAGGTTGTCATCAAATCTCATTTTGACAGGTGCCACGCCCCTTTGACCTCTATTTAACCCCCCCTCACCCCCCTCCTATTGATTGGAGCACCAGAGAGAACCCACACATGCACAGGGAGAACATGCACAGTGCTACCAACAACGCCACCGTGCAGCAGAGACCTCATTACATTATAGTTTTATTTACTGTATGATTTTTGATGATGCCGTTGTTTCATGTGCTCAGGGTAAGAATCATTTGTGACAGGTTGAGCACGACTAATATTTTCTTGAACTTTTTGTCACTTTGATAACAGGCTCCTGTTCTAAATAAGTGGGTCACTTGGCTGGACATGCAATGAAAAAATTAGGTTAAACGTTTAATTATCAGATTTAATTATCAAAGAATAAAAATATGGACAGCAGTTTTGCTAATTGTGGCAGCCGCTAGTCTGGAGGAGATAAGTGGGCAAATCGCAGGACAAAGGTGCTCTGTGAAGTGGAAACTCAGCTGGAGATTGCAGCACCAAGATGGAGCTTTGTTGAAATAAGCAGCACTTTGTTAGATTATATTTTTATACTTCTGGTAGGTTTTAGATGAAAAAGCTAAAGAGCTACCACCCTAGAGTAAGTTTCTATGAGATTACTATTGCTATAAGCAACTAGCCGTCACAATTAGATAAAAAGTTTAACAAATTGGTTAGGATCAACAGGAAATGTTTGACTGCACAATATGGTTACATAATGTAATCGATAAAGTAGTGGCACTCTGGCATTTTCTTTTTAGTTATCTAGTTTTTCTAGGGAACCATTAATGGGGAAGACTTTGTTTTATGGCTTCTGACATGTTCACTTCATTGGAGTTTATCTAATCAGTGTTTGCCCTTTGTCAACAACCGCTCCCAGTTTTCTGAGTTATTATTCACTGTTGAATCGAGTATCCTGGTTTAGCTACCATTTCACCGCTTTTTACTTCCCAAAATATACATACCTGTTGTTGAGAGAGCCAGAGGTTTCTGCTTATCACCGGGGGACATCTTGTCCTGAAGAAAGAAGATCTGGACCAGAACTACTTGGAGAATCACCAAGCCGACCACCATTCCAATGGTCAGACTGAGAGACACACGAGAAAAGAGTCAGTGAGAGGATCCATCAGTATGCACAAGTGGCCTTCGACCTTCATGGCCTTCATGGCTGGGGAAGTGGCCTTACAGAATGAGTCCCAGGTTTGACAGCATGGTCAGAACTTTCCCATGCTGTATGGGAAGAACCAGCAAGTAGGCAAACAGAAGGGCAAACAGGAAGTGGACAAAATGGACAATCAGGTAACCTAAAGGGAAATACAAGGGATATAAACTTTAAAGAATAGTTTTATCGTCAAACTTTCTCATTTGCTTATTACACAACACAGACATTGATCTGAGGTATCACAGAAATATGACCTAAAATCCATGAGTTGTCTCAATTTTTATAAAAAATAAGGCTTACCCCCATAACATGAAAGCTATTTGCCATCCAGAGTATCTCGCAATGGACGCCTGTGAATTTAAACATTTGGCGTTTTGAGAAGAATGAGCTCTCGATCTCAAACATTTAAAATACGCTCTCGCTCAAAATGACTTGTTCACACTTAACATTTGAGTTTATACAAAGCCGTTTGGGCTAAGAGACCTTATAGATAGATTTTATTACACAGACTCAAAGTCCAAATATACATAAAAAGAAAAGAAAAACAATAAAAGAATAAAAAGTGCGTGAAAAAAAATCAACAAATCATTTACTTTCTAGTCTGTTTTGTGTTGCGCAATATGACAAATTGTTCCTCAACCAAACCAAACTGGCACTGAATATTTGCTGATCATGTTTATGTGTGTTTTACTCACAACGCTGACTGCAGACTTAGGATTGTGGAACCTCTCTGGAAGGAAACCTTTCTGACCCCTCCAAAGTCTCTTTAAGTGTTTCCTAAGGCAAAAGATCAGACTGAGAATAACCACCGGTCCAGCAAATAGATGAATTTACCTCCCAGGGCTAAAATTGGTCAAATTAATTTACTTAACTTGACAGTATTTCTAATTTGAAGTGTTTTATTGAAATGTCTTACCTGTAGCATACTAAGATATGGAAGGTGTACGCAACAGAGTTGAAACTGGCAAAGATGGTGGTGGCAAGCCAAGACTCTGAAACAAACCAAAATGATCATCACTTACAAATAATTTAGGCTTCAAATATAAAGTGTCGGCGCTCTACTAGTTGGCGTAAATTTAATTTGATCAAACTGTCGTTCCCGATTTATTTCCAGTATTCAAACTGGTAGAGTTAAGCACCAACAGTACGATTTTCACGTGATGATCAGAGGAACTCACTCCTGGCCACGTCGATGAACTCTTCCAGCTGCGGTATCATGTATACCAACGCTTGTGTCTGGTTGCAAGACCAGTAATGTCTTTCAGTGTATTCTTCCATTCCTCCACTCGGTCAAAGGCAGCATCACTGAGACTGTAGTTGGCTAGTGTCATCTAGAAATGGCCAAGAAGACACATAAAAGCGGAAGTAACTTGTTGGTGAGGGAAATCGCAAGATCAAATGAGCATCTTGTACAAATTTTATTGAAAGATTTTTTTTTTCCTGCACCGTATATAGTCCTATGAGGGATATAATGGCTGTGCCAATGATCCTGTTTGGAAACTTGAAGTACGGGTCCCAGTCATACACTCGTGTTCGGAACCAGCCGAGGGGTTTACTGAAAAACAGAAAGGAGGTCAGAAAATCTAAAACGTTCACAAATTTTTTTTCTTCTATGAATTTATATCTGGGAGATACAACAAATTTTGTAAAACATTAAAGTTCTGCCTCGTCTGTTACTCAGAATGTGCTTCCGTTTTGCTTCTCTGAGGATGAAGGTCGAAGGTGAAAATGGCATCCGTATGTGCACCTTACCTTTGCTGTGGTGTTCTCGTCAGCAGCCTCTTAACGTGGTTTATCTGGTGTTGATCAATCAGCTCTTCAGGATCCTAGCAACAGATTTGGCACAATTACCATAAAACTGTTTGTTAATGTTTCCAAAAATGAGCTTTCTTGTAACAAGACATAATTAACAAATATATATATATAACAGAATTATGCAAAAATAAAAAGAATGCTCTGAAATCACATCATATTCTGACACAGGTGAAGTTTTATATTGGGTTTTCTTTTCTCCACAGCAAATATGCGGCGTTTTCATGGACTGATTTCAGCTTACAAGCTCGTCGTGCTCACCACTGTTTCCAGTTTGCAGACGTAAGCGCACATCTTTAACCAGCATGTAAATAAATCGTCCCAAGAGGAAGAGAAGCGAGAGGATGCAGGGCCACTGGTAAATTATCTTCTGGTATTTACCTAAAACCTTTGAAATCACATGGAATAAACAGCTGAAGTATTTTTCAGATATCTTTGAACAAGTATAGAGCATGTAGTGTATGTTTGTGTAAAGCCCAGTGGAAGCTGGATGTTTGATCCATCGCAGCGTCTTAAGTTTCATTAGCTACCAACCTCTCCATCAGGACAGGTTGCTGTATCCCAGACGGTGATCACAATCCTAGGAGCAGCAGCCGGGACATTAAATACAAATTATTACCATAATCTATTTTACTACTACGCTTAAAACTACGCAATACTGAATGTTTACCAGGCTATAGAGTAGAGAATCCCCAGCACTGCGCCAACCGTTTCTGAATGGTGTGGACAGACAGGCGAAAAATGGGAAATACACCAGACCCACTTCTAAAGCGCCAACAAGGTACACTATCGCTGAGGGCAAGCAGAGAGCAATGGGTCAGGGATTTTAATTGAATGTTGGATGCAGAACATGGTGATGACATAGACCAGTAACAGGAAGTACCTCTGGCCCATGGTGGGAGTGTAAAGGGGATGTAACGCTCAGAAAAGCAACAGAACGCTGTTGGACACGGCGCCAAATGCAAAGCCATAGGACCAGCGGTTACTGAGGCTGCCTATTGTATCCAAGGTCTGTGAAAGAGATATTATGAATATAAAAGAAGTATGTTACTAACAAAGTATCACACTGACAGCGAACAGAATTGTGTGACAGAACAAAAATTGACAGGAGTCTCATTTCCTTTGACTTACACCACAATACCAAAACGGCCCTTTAGAAACGGCAGCCTCTGGTCAATGGTCAGTCTCTGTGCTCGTCTCTGAAGAAATGACAGCACTCCTGTAATCAGGACCTGGATGACAAGGTAACACTTAATTAATGTGACTAATTAATATAACTTTTATTATAAAGACACATTTAAAAAATAGCTTGTAAAAAATGTTTGCTTCACATCTCCACAGAATACACATATTCCCATTTGTTGTTGCTTTGAAAGTGAATGTTATGTATGGGATAAAGCTAAAAACATGCAAGAGATGTTTTAAAAAAGAACATCCTGAATCCACTCCTTAATTCCAGGTCGGATTCTGATCAGAGCATTTTTAAACTCAATATTGGAGCATCTGACTCTCGTCTGTGAGGTGTGTCTGTCAGGTCAGCTGACCACACAGGGTTTGATCGACCAGTTTTCAACGATGATCAACTAATCTTGTGCAAACGGCTTGTAAACTGTATCTTCGCATTCGCACATGGATCTAATGAATTTCAGTTTCCTTTAACAATGTAAGTGTGAAAACAAAACGCAGTGAGAGTCTGTATTGACTACTGAAAGCAATCAGTGAAATTTAGACCTGCACTGAGTGAAACACTTTCTAGCATTTAAAGCAAAGCGCTGAATCTTTGAAGCACATTTTTTGAAATTGAGTATGATTTCATCTTTAATAAATGATTCCGTTTTGCACTTTTCAGGTGATGTGTTTCAGAACATTTCAGCAGTTTTCTTGTTTCCCTCGTATTTAAGCTGCATATTAAGGCTGTCCTGTAGAAACTCAGCTGGGACAAAATTTCTGCTGTTGGCAAGAAAAGAAGAACCTTCAACATTCAGAATTATAAGTAATCCGTGAATTACCAAAGAAATGTAGAATCATTACTAAGGTTATTAAGTGTTTTCAAGCATATGGAATTTATATTAGAAATTTTAATGGCACTGGAACTTTTTACTATGAAGCAGCTTGTCTTTAAGCTTTGATTAGTCAACCATCCATTGTCTCTGTTATCCTTGCAGGACCAGCTGACCTAACAGTCATGTTTTTCAAGCTGGAGCACCCAGAGAGAACCCACACATGCACAGGGAGAACATGCACAGTGCTACCAACAACGCCACCGCAACGCCAACGCCACGCAGCAGAGACCTCATTACATTATAGTTTTATTTACTGTATGAGTTTTGATGATGCCGTTGTTTCATGTGCTCAGGGTAAGAATCATTTGTGACAGGTTGAGCAGGACTAATATTTTCTTGAACTTTTTGTCACTTTGATAACAGGCTCCTGTTCTAAATAAGTGGGTCACTTGGCTGGACATGCAATAAAAAAATTAGGTTAAACCTTTATTTATCAGATTTTTCCTGCAAAAAGAATAAAAATGTGGACTGTTTTTGTGCTGACAAAATGTCATAGCTATTTGTGACAAATTGTCTTAAAAAAATTCCCTTTGCGCAACTTTCTAGTCATTCAGAAAGGGCTTGTTGTTTTGCTGTTTCTTGTTTTATGTACTGCAGAAAAAGTAAACCAATAACTTACTGCTGGAATGAGAGAAAGATGCAGGAAAAGGCTCAGTGAGATTTTATTTTGACAGTCCACAATTGTAGAGTCACTGGGAAGTCTGTGAAAATATAAACATGTAATGCATTATGACGGACATTGCAGAAATAAATCCCAGGAGTTATAAAATAAGTTATGGAAACGAACATCGTAGATCGAAGATTGAAGACGCATCGGGCGACCTCATTTTGTGAGCAATGTACAAAATTATTGTTTTCAGCTCAGAGTCAGCCAGTAAAGCTCTGCTTTTGTGGACCTTAAGCTAAATCAAATGGGAGCTGATCATGGAAAAGTGAAAAACATTGTCATAAAACTCTTTCTAGTCTCTGAACCGGATCTCTGTACTTACTGTTGCTCCTCTGTGATTCTTATCATCCTTGATAACGCAGCTCATTGAAGTCGAGAGACCCTCGTTCCTGCTCGACTGTACAGAGAAGGGAAGTGACCGTGGATAGAAACCGCATCTCAGCTTCCTGGTGTCAACCACATGACAGATCTGACCTTTGACCTTAGGATTCAGCAGTTAGATTATTATTCCCCCCCCCACACACATTTTTCTTTTGATGTCCCGTTTGTGTTTTCACATGCCAAAGTATTTGGTGACACTTTCCCATTCTGTCCGCGTATGTGTCTCCTCTGACACACAGCAGATATTTACTGCGGCGTTACTGAGTCTGAGGAATGTAAACAGTGAGCTCAGCCACCGAGATAACCAGCAAATCATTCACCAGCTGCTTTGCCTGAACAGATCAATAAGCCAGACTTCATAACGCGAGAGATTTTTGTAATGCAGCTCTGAAGAGGAAGCTGGTTTCTTGTCTTAGGCTAATTTATAGAACCGGGTCTCATGTAGCCATATCCTACTTTCACATCCCATTACCATTACAATTTCTACAGTGTGTCATTAGAATCTTAGGTGACGGACTAACACAAAGCAGTGCGCAGTTACGAGGTGAAAGGACAAGAACGAATGATTTCAAAATGTTTCTTACAAGGAAAACTCTATCCCTTCATTTAAACGCCTCTAAATAAAATCAAGTGCAACCAACTCCTTTCAGTCAGTAATTAAATGATCAAAAGTACTAAAAGTAGTGGACAATGATAAAGGTAACAAAATAATTTACCATGTCGGAGCGTAGTTGTGCAGTGTTAAAAAAATAAAGAAAGAAAGAGAGAAAAAAAAACTTTCAACTCTAGGGAAAGCTAAAACTTAAATATGAGTAGTCTCAGTAAGGTCTGTTTAATAAGTGTCACATATTCTTAAGAAATAAATTTACAAATGAGAAACTTTTACTGACATGTTTCACACTAGCGAGTGTTACAGAGAAAAATGTATGAGTTTCAAATGTGTTTATACCGGCGTTTACTATTTTGGAGAAAGCATGAAGCTCTGGGAAGATCAGTGTTGATTCAGCAGCAGGAAAAAAAATTGAACGAAAGTAGCATTTACAATGATGCGAGGATAAATTTTGGAAAATTCTGGACAAATTCTTTAACCAAGGAAAGTTAAAAGTCTAATTTGAATAACCTCCCGTTGGCCTGCTTACAAACAGTCACATATTCTTAAGAAGTACATGTACAAATGAGAAACATTTTACTGAAATGTATCACACTAGTGAGTGTTACAGAAAAATCTATGAGTTTCAAATGTGTTTAAAGCGTGTGTCGCTCACAGATAACTGAAGGTAATTACTCTTTAGACAAAGAGCGATAAACTGAGAAAAAAAAAAAAAAAACAGATGTGGCTCTGGTCTGCCCTCATGAACCAGCAGGGTTCATGAGGGTCTTGCTCTGAATTCCCCCCGAGGTGGCTAATTTATCATTCTGTCTGCATCCTGCAAAGTTTGCAAAGTATGCAGCTACTACATTCCTTCTCTCGCAGGCCCTGCGTGTCGCAGCTCAGACCTCCAGTTGTAGGCCTGGCTGAACACAGACACAGAATCAGAAGCAACATGTCCGGCATCTATTTCAACTTCACTAGGCTTTACTACATAATTATATACATTTTTACTTGGTTAAATACATTTTACTTGGTTAAATAACTGTTGTTGGGTGCTGTATTACTCTTAAAAAGAAAGTCAGATATACGGCATTTTTGAATTCAGCAGAGAGAAAACAGAAAAACCTAACACACAGACCATATGTCAGTGAGATCTACTGAGAACGACCCCCCCGAAGGGATTTCACAGGCCGTACCTATATTTGATCAAGCCCCCAGCTCAGACCCCAGTCGTAGGCCAGGCTGAACACAGGCACAGAATCAGAAGTAACATCTCCATTCCAAATCTATTTAAAACTTCAGTAGGCATAGTATATAATTATATACATTTTTCTTGATTAAATAACTGTTGTTGTATTGGTATTACTCTTTAAAAAAGAAAAAAATCAATAGGAGGAGGAGGAGGAGGGGGAGAAGGAGGAGGAGGAGGAGGGGGGGTAAATAGAGGTCAAAGGAGCGTGGCACCTGTCAAAATGAGATTTGATGACAACCTACCCCTAATGTTTCTGTTAAGGAACTTGTAAAGAGAAAGTATTTGTTCAGTCTGAGTTATTCGTCCACCGACATCATGGCTGGGAGACTTGTACTGGGACTTTTGCTCATCTGTGTCGCAGCAGGTAAAAGAAAAAATTAAGTATTTTCTCAATTAATATGCTTTGAAAGTATTCCTCTAAGTCGTTTTGTAGCAAAGAACAGTTGTAACAATATTTTTTTATCTCTGCTCATGAGTGCTGCTGTGATAAAGGTTTCTTTGTGCTGTTCACTATGTTAAGGTCAAATGCTACAGTAGAAACAGAAAAGGATACAAAAAGATCTAGATTTCCCTTTAGAATGCATAATAGGCACTTTGCAGGCACTCAGGGCTGAAAGTAGTTTGTTATTTAAAGCCTTAAAGTTAAATGACCTCTGACCTAAACACTTAGGCACTTGCTTTCTTTTTTTTTTCTAAAGATGCTGCAGACAAGTCTGGACTTATGAGAAAGGTGATATGAATTTAAGAATGAAGCATTTAGTTCATTCAAGTAGAAAACTGCCTATATAATTGAGCAGAATTTAATGCTGTGTTGTTTTAATGCCTGTCAGCCTTCTTGTCCTACTCTGGAGACAATCGTGGCATGCCCCGCTAACTTTGCCCCTGTGTGCGGCAGCGATGGAAACACTTATGCCAATGAGTGTCTCCTCTGCGTCCAGAGACAGTGAGTACACACAGCTGCTCCACAACCCTGAGATTCACAGATTCATTTTTGGGTCACCCCAGCAGATATTTTTTTGAGGGAAAAAAAAAATGCTTTCATCGCCCCCTGGCGGTCAATTAATGTGTAGTTATAACCTTTCTGTGCAAAAGCATCTCTCCAGTTTTCTTTGCAGGACAGATTTAGCTATTTTATGTCTATTTTTAAATACAGCACATTTAGGTGTGAATCAACCATTAAACAGGAATGGGAAGGTTTTTCTATAGTGGTTTTGAAAAATAAATCCTTACACACATTTTTGGTTTAGGAAAAAAAAAAAAAACTCCAAACCTCAGATGAAAGAGTGAATCACTGCTGTGTCATGTGTCACTAATCTTTCCTCAGACAAAGCAAGATGGACATCTTGATCGTGAAGGAACAAAGCTGCTGACCTGTACGGTTGATAAAGTCGACGCCGTAACGCAAGCCGGAAAATGACGCCCACTGCTGTCATTTTGCAATAAAGTATCAGAATTTGTCAGCTTCTTGTTGTTTTCCTCAAAACTGTGCAACATTGTATGTAAGGTTCACAAGGAAGCCTAGAGAGATACTGGAGATAAATTAAACAGAAACCAGATGGAAAAATGCATCTTCGTTACAAAAGTGTTTATAGTTGTTTACACATTTTGTCATTGTTTGTTGGATTTTATGAAATACCAACACAAAGCAGCACATTAGTATGAAACAGATGGAAAATGATACAATGCTTTCAAAATATCACTACAAATAAAAATCTAAGATATGTGGCATGTGTTTGTACATTCAGCCCAGGATTATTGATTGATTATTTGATTGGCTGAACCAGCCTCCGACCGGTTTTACTCTAGGACTGATCTGTATTTCACTCCGTCTTCCCATAAGCTGGTCAGCAGCTCCTCTTTTGCTCCTGAAGAAAAGCATCCCACGGCATGACGCTGCCGCCACCATGTTTTAAGACGAGTTGCTGTTTTCAGGGTACCAGGAAAAGTGACAAATAGCCTCTTCTTGACACAACCCCTACGTTGCATTTTGGTTTCTTTTTCCTCGTGTTTGTTGTTAAAAACTGGAAACAGGAATCACTACGAGATGCGATCCCGGCCCACTGAACAGATCACACACAGACATTCAAGGCTTTGGTTATTGTAAGATTTAACTCTTGCTTCTTCACAACTTCAACCCAGTTTGTGCCCCTTAATCTCTGTCATGTGTGATCACTCATGTTTTTGGACAAACATCTAGGATTTTCTAACCTTTAATTACTGACTGAAAGGAGTTGGTTGCACTTGATTTTATTTAGAGGCGTTTAAATGAAGGGATAGAGTTTTCCTTGTAAGAAACATTTTGAAATCATTCGTTCTTGTCCTTTCACCTCGTAGCTGCGCACTGCTTTGTTAGTCCGTCACCTAAGATTCTAATGACACACTGTAGAAATTGTAATGGTAATGGGATGTGAAAGTAGGATATGGCTACATGAGACCCGGTTCTATAAATTAGCCTAAGACAAGAAACCAGCTTCCTCTTCAGAGCTGCATTACAAAAATCTCTGAAGTCTGGCTTATTGATCTGTTCAGGCAAAGCAGCTGGTGAATGATTTGCTGGTTATCTCGGTGGCTGAGCTCACTGTTTACATTCCTCAGACTCAGTAACGCCGCAGTAAATATCTGCTGTGTGTCAGAGGAGACACATACGCGGACAGAATGGGAAAGTGTCACCAAATACTTTGGCATGTGAAAACACAAACGGGACATCAAAAGAAAAATGTGTGTGGGGGGGGGAATAATAATCTAACTGCTGAATCCTAAGGTCAAAGGTCAGATCTGTCACGTGGTTGACACCAGGAAGCTGAGATGCGGTTTCTATCCACGGTCACTTCCCTTCTCTGTACAGTCGAGCAGGAACGAGGGTCTCTCGACTTCAATGAGCTGCGTTATCAAGGATGATAAGAATCACAGAGGAGCAACAGTAAGTACAGAGATCCGGTTCAGAGACTAGAAAGAGTTTTTATGACAATGTTTTTCACTTTTCCATGATCAGCTCCCATTTGATTTAGCTTAAGGTCCACAAAAGCAGAGCTTTACTGGCTGACTCTGAGCTGAAAACAATAATTTTGTACATTGCTCACAAAATGAGGTCGCCCGATGCGTCTTCAACCTTCGATCTACGATGTTCGTTTCCATAACTTATTTTACAACTCCTGGGATTTATTTCTGCAATGTCCGTCATAATGCATTACATGTTTATATTTTCACAGACTTCCCAGTGACTCTACAAT